CAATTTTCATGAGATACTTTATTTAATGGAGATTTGTTCCCTGTGTTATGTCTCTTTGCTGCAGATTAACAATAAGTGCTTTTAGAAAGGAAAGAAAACAACAGAAAGTAAAAAACAGAATAAGGGCTTAAAACTGGAATTATTTTCTATCTCAGTTTCATAGCCAGTTCAAGGCCAGCCTGAGACATTCTGCAATCGGACATTTCCTGTCCTAACTGCCTGGTCCCAAATAACTGACTGAGAGGCTTAATATTATTTACAAATGCTTGACCAATAGCTCATTCTTGTTATGAGCTAACTCTTACATCTAAAATGACCCATATTTCTCTTTATGTTTTGCCATATGGTTCATGGTTCTTTACCTCATGTTTTACATATCCTGCTTGCTCGGTGGCTGGATGGTGTCTCACCCAACTCTCCTGACTCCGCCCTTCCTCCACCCATCATTTTCTCTTCGTCAGTCTGTCTCACCCAATCTTTCCTTGCCCTGCTATTGGCCAATCTCATAATCCACAGCAACATATAAAACCCTGTTTCAAAAAAAAAGAGTGAGAGAGAAAAGAGGGCTGGAGAGATGGCTCAGTGATTAAAAGCCCTGACTGTTCTTCCAGAGGACACATGGTCCATTCCCAACCCCCACATAGCCTCTCACAACCATTTATAACTATAGTTCCAGGGATCAGGCTTCTGTGGGCCCTGCATACATGTGGGGCACAGACATATTGCTGGCAAGATACTCATGTTCATAGAATAAATGTAAACAAATCTCAAAATAACTTAAAGAGAAAAAAACAGAAAGTTACAAATAACTCTGATGTATGTGTCATATATGTGTATAAATGTCAGTATATGTGTGTATAAATTAATGTCATATGTGTGTGTATATATACATCATGTATATATGTGTATATGAGGAAATTATCAAAAATGTAAGTGCTTTATTGAGAACTTAAAACAAAAACAAAAACAAACAAAAAAAACTAAACTAAAACCCAAGGATTTGTAATACGAAGAACCTCTGATCTGTAGGTCAGAGAGGAGGACATTGTAAGTAGGAAAGAAATTAAACATGAAGATGCAGGACTTAAAGCCTTGCCTTGGCAGAGAAGTGGCCTTTGGGGCCAGCAGATGGATTCTTCCGGGTCTCAAAATGGCAAGGGGCATAGCAGGGTGGAGAGTGTAACAGAAACAACCCAATGCCCCTTCAGTGAAGGTCTGCTCAGTCAGTTCTCACACCAAAGTCTTTTGCTTTGTGGTCCCAAACTGTGCTAACTGAAGACTAGGCCTTGAGAGGGAGTCCAGGGTCTCTGCAGAGAGGTGTAAGACAACATGTGTTGCCCTTAATACAAAAGAGGCTCTTCTGTTTGACACTGATGTGTGTACATTCTCCTGCTAGGAAGAGGTGTGAACCTTCCCCTGGGCAGCAAAGTGGCTGATTTCCATTTCATTTTGGCCAAACCTAGACTCACATTTTTGTCAGTGCCATGTCAGAGGAGCTACAGACAGCACTGGAGCTATGGAATACCGCCCAGTGGAGCAGCAAAGCTCCAAGAGGATCCTTCCCAGGATGCCCTTGGCGTGTGCTGTGCCTCCTGCTTGCTGCTGCCCTATTCCGGTTGTGTTTGGCATGGTGTGGTTACTGCATGAAAGGATCCCACTCCTCACTGAGCAGTTTACTTGCAGATCATAACGAAGATGATTTTTTTTAAATTGTTTTTTGAGACAGGATTTCTCTGTGTAACAGCGTGGCTGTCCTGGAACTTGCTTTGTAGACCAGCCCGGCCTCGAACTCACAGAGATCCGCCTGCTTCTGCCTCCTGAGTGCTGGGATTAAAGGCATGCGCCACCACTGCCAGCTATGAAGATGATTTTTGTAAGAGCAATTATGATTAGTTAGATTATGATTTAATTGGACTTTTTGAGTTAGCCTAACATACACAGGTGGTTAAGACAGTTCATAAAGATGATTAGGGCACCGGGCGTTGGTGGCACATGCCTTTAAATCCAGCACTCAGGAGACAGAGGCAGGCAGATCTCTGTGAGTTCCAGATGAGCCTGGCCTACAGAGCGAGTTCCAGGACAGCTTCCAAAACAACACAGAGAAACCCTGTCTCGAAAAACCAAAACAAAAAAGATGATTAGGAAAATAGTTTAAGTTATCCTGCCAATTGCTCTAATAAGAGAGACAAACGAAATAAAAGTCAAAAACAGTCTAGAAGTTACCTTCCCCTTTGTTAGGTGATAGGGATGTCCTGTATGCTGTGAATATATGTTTCTCTTATTGGTTGATAAAGTAATGGTGATTGGCCAGTAGCTAGTCTGAGCTCTATTTGAAGACAGAATTTCTGCCTCACCTGGTCCTGCAGCCATTTAGTCCCAAATAAACACACAGAGGCTTCATATTAATTATAAACTGGCTGATAGCTTGGGCCTCTTTTTGGCTAGCTCTCTCTTAATTATTAACCCATTTCTATTAATCTATGTATTCCCACAAGGCTGGTTTACCCACAATGCTCTAGCATGTTACTTCTTTGGCAGCTACATGGTGTCTCTCTCTGGTGACTGCTCCCTGCCTTCCCTCTTCCCAGAATTCTCCTAGTCTGATAGTAGGTACTACTTCCTGCCTGGCTACTTACCAGGGTCCAGTCTGTATCAGTCCCACAGTGTAAAGGCCATTTATTCCAGACTGATGTCTTTAGGGCTGTGATCCGAAGCAGCCGAACAGCCCCTGGTCTGACCCCTAGCTACTCACGGACATTAGACAAAGACATCTGGTCATAACAGGAAGGCTCCCAGTCAATATTGGAGACCACAGTTTATTTCAGCATCATCTTAACTAACTCTCCAAAAGCGAGTGGGCTTACTGGCAGAAGTATCTATTATCATGTATATGGAGCTGATATCAAATATTTCCTTTAATCCTAGAGACACTCCTAAGCTGCATGTACTCAAGCTCTCAAACATTCCATATCAGCATATCTCACTAGCCTTCAAGGTAGGTGTAGGCTTGCCCAGGCCTAGGCCTTTTGTTACACAAACTAGGAGTCATTCCCCACCAAGACCAGGCACCTGGAGGTTATCAGTCAGCATCTAAAAGACAATGGGAGTTCTGAGCTGCTAAAATTTTGTGGCTGAGCAGAGGCATATTTCTGAGATATTATATTTGGGCCCCAACAGCCATTGGCCAATCAGCATTTATTCATCAACCACTAAGAAAAACATATATTCACAGCATACAGAAGGTCATCCCCCATCATCTCCTCTTTTCTGTCTAAATAAAAGGAAGGTTTTTAACTTTAACATAGTAAAATTATATATAACAAGGCAGTTAGTCCATTAACATTTGTCAAAATTTAAAGAATATATTCTATCATCTATCCTATCTTTGTGAGTCTAAGGTTTTATATGTAACTTATCTTTTATCATAACTAAGGAAAACCATAACCCTAACTATCTGTCTTCAACACCATTAAAGACCTCAGAAGGATAGTATGTAAACTCTAGAATTGACAGAGATATCTCACTGCCTGGTCAGTCACCCAAAGTTCCTCTGTAATGTTGGGGCATCCATCTTCAGCCCATAGGCCTAGAGTGTCTGGCAGACTTCTCAGAGAAGCAGGAAATTTGAAACTGTCCTACCTCTATTGGCAGTTTCTCAGTCATTTTTATCTGTCCTGTAGAATATCTGACAGACTCTTCCATGAAACAGAAACCCTGAAGGACTGTCCCATTCTGTTCTGGAAAGTTCAGCAGTCACTTTCCTGTTGTGCCCACATGTCCAGTTTGGACAGCATGCTGTCAAGCAGTTCAGACAAGAGCAGTTTCTTGTCCAATAGGCTAGGCCAGTTTTGCCACATTGAAGGCAAACTCCATAATGGGTTTCTTTATTTTTTATTTTTTATTTTTGGTTTTATGAGACAAGGTTTCTCTGTATTGTTTTGGAGGCTGTCGGTCCAGCCTGGCCTCGAACTCACAGAGATCCGCCTGCCTCTGCCTCCCGAGTGCTGGGATTAAAGGTGTGCGCCACCACCGCCCGGCTCATAATGCCCATCTTCCTCTATGATGTAATTGGTGTTGTCAGGAGCAGTTGTGTCTCATTGTCATGAAAAACCTTATTAAACTATTTTAAATGCCGTATTTTGTAGGTCTTTGAAAGGTTTTAAAGAAACATATCTCTGTTATATCTAGAAAACCTAACTAACATAAGTTTTGACTATTATAGCTTATTTTCTATAATCTGTATTTTTAAATTATATATGAGCTATACAAATATAATATCTAAACAAGAGTATAAAAATACATATAACAAAATTGACCTTAAATTTGCATCAATAAACTAAAATCCATATCAATGTAAAGTATTCATTTCTATATCTATTTCCTTTTTTTTTCACAGCATACAGAAGGACATCCCCCATTAGTTAGATGTGAGATTTTCAGAAGCTGGGAAATCAAAACAAGGAAGTTTCATGCATTATAGATCCATGGGTTCTGCCTGTCAAAAAACAGGCTGATAATCAAAGAAAATAATTATGCTCCTACACCTAAGGTTAGGTCTGAGTTCCTTGGTCATGTAACTTACAGAATTAATTACAGGCTCAGTATATACCTTGCCAAAGAAATAAACAGAGTTATGAAAGGAAATTAAATGACCCTACTGTGTGTGAAGAGAAATAAAATGGCTAGTTGATCACTTGTTTCAGGTTTCTCTAGAGGAGAAACAGGATAGGACTCTGTCACACAAAACCTCAAACAGCTGCCTGCTGAAATATACTTACCTCGCTTAAATCTTTGTTAATCAATTGTAAAAGAACCTTTGCTTTGGGATGAAGATGCGATGGTGGGAAAATTAATACAAAGAAGGAATGTTTGTGAGCTTCCAAGGAAAACATGCAACTTGTGATCATAATGTGATTTCTTCCTGTGTAAAGATTTTAATTTGTTTTTGAAAAATATGTAACTTGTGGTTGTGAGGTAATTTTTTCTTGTTTTTGTCTTAGGAGGTATAAAAGAGAAAATAAGGGATGTAATAGAGGGAAAGCATCAGGAAAGATGTGGATGGAGGACAACTGGAGGGAGGAGGAAGAAGACAGCAGGGAGAGAACAGAGCAGCAGCAGAAAAAAAAGGTAAATGAAGGATTAAGCGCTGGCCCTCAGAAAAGTCTTCTGTGTATGTTTGCACCTCCTCTCCAGTTTCTCTGGCCTTCTGAGAGTTAGTGCTCTCAGCAGCACACTTTGGTTTATGCTGTTTTCCAAGAGTTTTATTGATTTATTCCCACATTCAGGTCTATGGCCTGTTCCTATTACCATGTGGGATCCCATCATTCCACATCCTTACCAACAGTTGCTATTGACTTTTTTATTAAAGTCACCCTAGTAAGGTGGAGCAGGGACTGCTGGCTTCTGTCTCACATTTTGTAAGGGTGCATGACATACAGTATCCTCTCATCTGCTTAGCGGCCTTCATGTACTCTCTAAGTTGTCTTTTATATTGAACTGTAAGAATTGCTTACAGCGTCTAGACATGAGCTCCTTACCAAATGTATGAATTGCACTTATATTCCTCAGGGGGAGAATGGTTCTCATGTCACCTAGGTTGGCTTTGAACTTTACATGGCTAGCCTTTAAACACGTCTTCTTGCCTATACCTCCTGAGTGCTAGGATTACAGGCAAGGGACAGCATGGCTCCTATTTCCTTCCCTCTGAATGTCTGTCCACTTCCACTTATAATATCCATTGAAACAGGCGTTCTCCAGCTGAAGAGGGACACCTTAGCTACATTAACATATAATTTTATTTGGTTACTTGTGGTTCAGTGCCACATCTAATAAGCCATGTCTGGTGTGAGATTTGCCCCTACACCTTCTTTTATTACACTTTAGGGTCTGTGATCCACTTGTAGTTAGCTGTAGAAGTTCATTTCAATTCTTTTTTAAAGATTTTTTAAAGATGTCATTATAGATGGTTGTGAGCCAATATATGGTTGCTTGGAATTGAACTCCGGACCTTTGGAAGAACAGTCAGTGCTCTTAACCTCTGAGCCATCTCTTCAGCCCTCATTTCAAATCTTTGTTGATGATGTTGTTGTTGTTTGTTTTTCGAGACAGGGTTTCTCTGTGACTTTGGAGGCTGTTCTGGAACTTGCTCTATAGACCAGGCTGGTCTCAAACTCACAGAGATCCTCCTGCCTCTGCCTCCCGAGTGCTGGAATTAAAGGAGTGGGACACCAATTCCCGGCTCTTCATTTCAATTCTTATGAATTAAAAGATTTCGTCTTATACCTGCAGGACAATTCTAAGGTGTCAGCTCATTTCCTTTTGTTGTTTTAATTGCTCGGTTACCTTGTAGTCTCCTTTCTTATATATGTCTCTTATTATGATGTTATTTTTTTTTTTTGGGTGTGAAGGCTTTTATTAGGTCAAAGATTTCCAATTATAAAGATTTCATTGAAATAAAAAGTATCAGATTCTTTCTGAGTGATTCAAGGTAAAGTAAAAAATAGTAAAAGTTAATTAAAAACAAATATGGTAAAACTATACTATCCAGCAACAAGTCTCCAGAATATATTATTTTCCTACTTTGACTTAATAATATGAAATAATAATTAATACAGATGATATGATATTGTACTTTTGAAATGCATAAAGACAAATACTAGATTTAATATTTCTATGAATCCCATTTGATATCACAAAGCAAACATTATTGGATAAAAAATATTTTTAAATTTCAGGAAAAAATGAACATGATCAAATAACAGACACTGTATTTAGCTAATTTAAAAATATTTCAAAATTGTTATTTGAATATAAGACAGCAACGAGTCATAAAATCGCAGCAGACAAGATACTGTGGAACAATAATGTACCAGTGTCACAGAGTAAAGGCAACTCTTTCTCATATCTGGTGACATGAAACGGCATGGGGAAACGAACAGGACGCTTCCAGAACTGCTGGTAGTCAGGGCCACAGACAGCCTTCAATGCAGAGGGCAGGGTGAAGTGGCTCACCACCTCCTCCAGACAACAGACAGATGGATTCTCTTGGGAGACATGAGCACCCGCTGTAGACACACCTCACGTTAGTGACCACGATGGCCCATGTCAGGTCCCAAACTACTTGAGTGGTGAAAAGGATGCTGGGATCAGGAACATGTTCTGCTGAGACTCTAGGTAGTTGACACTTTCCCGAACAGCAGCTACGACCCTGGGGTCCTCATGAGACCGGTGTCTCCCAGCTGCACGACTGTCTGCACTCTCATTCCACCACAGAACGTGAACTCTGTTGAGGGCTCCATATTCAGTGTGGAAAACACCGACTAGAGTAGAGTAGCCAAGGTCAACATGGGCATTCACCGCTCTTTTGAATGCGTCGCCCCACAGAGCTGGGCCTCCAGGCTTCATCTGAAAAGTAGCCAACTCATAGACTCCTTCCTTGGGAGGCTTTCCCAATTTGCACCATGGTACCAGGTAGGTAATCTCAATCTCTTGTTTATCAATGGAAGTCAAATTTGGGATGAGGAATTGTTCTTGCCACGCCTTATCATTGGCCAAGGCTTTGCGAACTGCAGTTCGATGAGCAAAATTATCGTACTTCCAAATATGGAATACTTTGTTGGTTCTGCCTCCAAATTCTACACTCCAATATCCAATCAATTCAGAGTGAGCAGTCCGGAGGTGAACATTTTTCTTCAAGTTTTCCAGGAACTCCTTCGTTTTTGAGGACTTGAGGAAATAGGTGCGGAATTCATATAATGTCCCATCGCTTTGCCTGGGACCTGTAGCAAAAGGTGAACATACCTGAGGCGCCAGCGCCCGCAGGGCCAGCGCCTTCCTCAGGCAGCTTCCCAGTGCGAGCATGGCGCGTCCTGGGGCGCGCAGGAGACGGCCGCGGGGTTCCGGGACTCCTCCCGCTTCCCGGTCATGATGTTATTTTTAATGATGATGATGATGATAATTATTTTTGTTGTTGTATTAGGCTTGTGGTACTATGGAGCAATCCCTGTACATGCAAGGCAAGTGCTCTACCACTGAGCCCATTTGTAGCCCTCAGATTTGTGTTTGTTTTTGTTTTATAAGTCAGAGTCTCACTGTGCAGTCCAGACTGGCCTTGAACTCATGCTCATCCTGCCTCAGCCTCCAGAATACTGGAATTGCACGTGTGTACCATCATGCCTGGCTAGAAACCTTCTTAATGCTGACGCATCAACGATAATTGCTTTAGAAAACACTGGCTTGTGATTGATTGGGTTTCTAGTAGGGTGTGATAATATGCCTTCCTGTAACTCATCACACCCAGATCTGTTATTTTTCATTTTTATTTTATTATTATGTTTTTTTGAAACAGGATTTCTCTGTGTAGCCCTTGCTACCCCGAAACCCAGAGATCTGGCTGCTTCTCCCTCCCGGGTGCTGGAATTAAAGGCGTGTCATTTTATCCTCTTGCCTGTGTATATACAGTGCCTGATCTAAGCACCTTGCAGCTCTCTCCCTTACCACTGGTTTTCAGCATTTTGCTGCACAGTAATTGTTTTTATCATTATTTGTGAGCCTGGGGTGTGTTGAGCTTCCTGAGACTGTAAGTGAGCATCAGCTTTGAAACATTTCCCTGTCGGTGCCTATAGCTCCACTCTATCTTGACTCAAGGGCAGAGCGTTCAAAACTGTCCTCAGTAAGTCATAACACCTAAACATCAAAGGTGTGGCTATAGTAGGATGTTTGATCTTGGCCTTGGGTGTCTTATTCTTTGGGTGTCTTATTCTAAATAACAACAGACCTGGTCTGGGGTGTGGTTTCTCCTGACCCTCAAGGTCAGGTAATGAGAAGTTGAATCTAAGGTGTGGTTACTGAATCCTTGGAGAGAAGAGGAAGAAATGTCTGTTCTGTATACGTGATACCATGCTCCCCTTTTGCGTTAAGGTATATCGGAGTGGTGAAAAATAGGCTCGTGGCATTTCAGTATGGACTGATTTGCCCTCCTGATTGTATTTCTGTGTCTCTGTCTTCCCTTCGACGTCTTTAGCTCGCCTTTCTTTAGTCCACGGACCTTTGGCGGCTCGACTGGCTCCGACTATAGCCCTGCAAAGACAGCTGCCCACACCTCACCGCTCCTTCACACACGCTTTCTGACATCTCCTCTCTCGTGGGAACCCTGATTATATATGTACCCTGGATTAGTCAAGTTGTGGGTGCTGGTGCTTCAGTTCTTCCAGTCTTTTGTTCCTGTTGCAGAGTTTACATCACATCTGTAGTTCACTAGGGTTCTCTTCTATGATGTCCGGTCTGCTGCTGATCCCATTCAGTATAACCCACCCCAGCCACTGTCTTTCAGCTATTTTTCTTTGGTTAGAAGCTGCAGTCCTCAATGAGTAGTTTCATTGTTCATAAAAGACAACGCCTCCTGGCCATTTCAGTAGTAGGCTTTCTGGAGGCTCCCAAACAGGTGTCAGGGCAGGCATGCAATCAGATGTATTTGTCTGGTATTCTCATTCACACATCAGAGTCTCCAAGGTCAAGAACCTGCTGTATATTTTTATGTTCCTTCCACCACAGACAATACAAATGTGCTTTTAACTGTTGCACAGTGAAAGTTCCCTTTGTGGGCTAACAAATGATGTGCCTGGGTGATGGTCTATGTTAAACATCAGAGCCACGAAATCAAATGCCGGGAGCAACAGCGGCGCTTACTCCCCATTGATTACAGACTTACTACCACCCTGGCTGTCACCTGAGAAGCTTTCTTCTCATTATCCTAACCCTAACCCTAATGTCTCTCTAATGTCTCCTCTCTAATGTCTCTCTAATGTCTCTCTAATGATGTCTCTCTAATGTCTCTCTAATGTCTCTCTAATGATGTCTCTCTAATGTCTCTCTAATGATGTCTCTCTAATGTCTCTCTAATGATGTCTCTCTAATGTCTCTCTAATGTCTCTCTAAAGAAACACACACACACACACACACACACCTGTATATTTATTTAAAGGAATACAAGCAAATTAAACCTTCAGAAGCCCATGAGCCAATGAATAAAGGCACATGCTACCAAGCCAGAAGACGTTAGTTTGGTCCCTGGGACCCATCTGGTAGAAGGCTAGGACAGAGAGAGAACTATGTCTTATAGTCGTCCTCTGACTTCTACAATGCACCCCCACGAAAGATAAAAATGAAACTCTTCATGTGTCAAACAGCCTCTTCTTCAGTAATAGAAGCATTGGTCCTGTATGTAAAAGCATATTTAAATAAAAATGTCACATTGTTTTCTTACTCTTTTTTTTGTTTGTTTTTGAGGCAGTATTTCTCTGTATTGTTTTGGAGGTTGTCCTGGAACTTACACTGTATACCAGGCTGACCTCGAACTCACAGAGATCCACCTGCCTCTGCCTCCTGAGTGCTGGAATTAAAGGCATGAGCCACTAACGCTCAGCTACTCTTGTTTTTCCACCCTTGAGGTGTTATTGAATTCTACTCTGTGGAATTCTCTATCTCCACACCCTGGTGGCACACAGAACGACAGGAAGCAGGCACAGTGAGAGACAGACATGTCCCCACACAACCATAAACACATCTGCAGACCTGTTCCTAGTGCTGAGGGTGCTGCCGAGGGGGAAACACTAAGTACCCTTGTGTGGGACTTGGTTTAAATCAACTGTGTGTGATACAAGGGCATCCGTGGTTCATCTGGCAGTCCACTGTTGAACACGTATGTTCTACCCATTTCCCTAGGCACCTAATAGGAACGAACAAAACAAATTAGGGCTTGGATGTAGGCAGCTCTTGCTGAGCATGCCCAATATCCAACACCTCACAAATGATATTCATTCTCCCACTCCTATGGAGCTGTTTGAGATTGAGTTGGGGACAGTCAAATAGAGGTACTCGGTAAACGCGCTAAAGAACACAAAGCAAGGTGATGAGCCTAACTGTCCTGGGAAGCGCTCTCTCTCTCTCTCTCTCTCTCTCTCTCTCTCTCTCTCTCTCTGTGTGTGTGTGTGTGTGTGTGTGTGTGTGTGTGTAGGGGGTGCGGGGGCTTCAGGGGAAGATTCGTGTATGATAATGCGCTGTTACAGAGGCAGGATGGAATAAGGAGGCCATGCGAGAAATTATTGTAGGGGGGGAGGAAGTGCACGCATACACGCACCACGGAAGCAGTGGGCTTGCTGTGTTTGAGTTTCCCTAACAGAGCAAGGGAAGGATGCCAGCAAAAGGACGAGAGAGGCCGTGTGCTCTGTGGTGGAGCCTTTGCATGTTACGTGGAAATGTGGAGTTTCGGGAAGGTTTGAGGAGAGGAGAGACACCGCCGACTTTACCCTCACAGATGGTCCTCTGGCTGCTGTGGAGGGCATTCCAGTGAGCTATGAGGCTGGTCTGGCCTACAGTGTTGGCCAAGCAGAAGGTGAGAAATGGAAGTAGAACGTGTTAGACTAAATGACTTCTTCCTTTATGGACAGAGACAGGAATCTCGGGACCTTGGGCAGAAGATCATTGCCCACTAACCCTCTCCTTAAAGGATGCCACTTTCTAATTTACCGTCTCATCCACTATTCCATTAAAATAAGAGGCCCCAAACAATGCCATGGAGTCTGAAGTGAGTGTGTGTGGGGGGGGACTGCGCCTGGATTAGTTGCTCATTGTGGCCAGGCCTGTGTGGGACTTGGCGGTTCTAAGAACGGTAGTTGGAGGAAGTGATGAAGAGGGATGGCTGTTTATCATGAACCAGAAATTCGAAGCTGAAGGAGGGAGGCAGGAGACCTTGTTGGGACGGTGCAGAGATGCGGAGTGACGAATTGGATGACGCGGAGGGTCGTTTGTGAGGGCGCCGGAACCGCAGCCGGTGATTGGGTGAAGGGAAGGTGACTGTGACGGTTGTCACGGCAGCAGTTCTGGAGGGACGCCTCGGCCTCCTTCAAGTCACTCAGCATCCGGCACTGAGCCCCTGCTGACGTGTCGCTTGCAGCCTCCCGCCTCCCGTCTCTCCGGCGCCTCCCCCGACTCCGCCTGCTCCTGTCCCGCCCTCGGCACCGCCCGCCAGCGGCCTCCGCGTCACCCGCGCCCGCGGTGGCCACAACATGGCTGCGCCGCCGGGGCTGCTTCTCTGGCTGGTCCTGCTCGGGCCGCACTTGTGGGGCCCGGGCCAGCCGGACCCCAGCCCCGGCCGGCGCTTCTCGGACCTCAAAGTGTGCGCTGACGAAGAGTGCAGCAGTGAGTGTGGGGCGGCGGGGAGCGGGCCGGGTTCCCGGGTGGCCGCGATGGCCGCGCGGGTGGGAGTCCCACAGCTCGCACTTGGCCTAGGGGGTCTCAGGCCCGCCGAGCCCACGCCGGTACGCTCTGCTGGGCCATCGCCCTGGTGGCCCCGCCGTGGGGGCCGCGCCTGCCACTTGTTGCCAGGGTTTGCTCTCTGCTGCTCTGACCTGGTTGGGGGGCGACGCAGACTCAGCCGGGTTTCCCGGAGTCAACTCCCCGGTTCCGGGTCCCCGATCTCCGCCTGGGCTCCCGGAGTGATGGGGTGGCGCGCCCCCGCATCCTGAGCGCCCGGTGGTGCAGCCAACAGCGTCCCCACGCCGACCGGGGGTCCCTGGGTCCACGGAAGACCGAGACCCACTTGCTTAAGGATCTGGGGCGCAATCCCAGTGACTGATTGACAGCGGGGTTCCTTCAAAAGGCACCCGGGTGCTGCCTCTTCGACCTCCCAGCTGCATTGGGACTAGCTCGCATCACCTTTGGAACCGGAGGAACTGGAGTTTAGGTTTGGGATGAGCCCCGAGGCCAGGAACGTAGTACATTCCGAGGTCGTCTCTCAGGTTCTCTGCCTCAGTCCTGTCTCTTGCATAGAAGCTTTTTGCCAGCTTCCAAGTAGGGCTGCAGGAAGGTCAAAATCTTTTGCTCTTAAAAGAGGACAAGGAGCGCACCTGTCACCACCGGAGAACCGCAGCCTTCTCCTCTATGCGCAGTCGCGCCCTGGTCCTAGGTTGGAGGTGCCCAGGGTTGGAGGTGGGCCATGGAGGTTAGATTAGAAGATGGCTATTGCTGTAACGGTGATAAAATATACCCCAGAGGTCTCAGGAGTCAGCCCAGCCCTCTCCTTAGTCCCCTATGTGCTGGGACCCATTCCTGCCCAAAATAATTCCTAAGGTTTCCAGGTTAGTCTCCAACAACCGTGTAACTCACTGTCAATGTCCTTCATAAACCACAAGCAGCACATACAGAAAATTATTTGTCCTAAAATTCTAAGAAGACTGCGTGTTAGTCATTTATATTTCAATTGAGTTTATGAAAAAAAAACAAATCGCATAATTCCATTAAAGTATTTGCACCAATACCATTAAAGAAAAAGATAGGGAGTACCTGTAATTTATATCACCCAGATTCTAGGTCCTAGAGGTAGCCCAGGGCCAGTGTAAATAAACACTAAATAAAGGTGAAACCACCATTGTGAATTCCCCTACATTTTTCTGTTAACAAACCAGCTATTGCCATTTTGCTGTTGAATATTGACCAGTGTTTTCTGTTCTTTGCCATCAAACACTGTCCCACCCAAGTTCCTCAAAACTCGAGGACAGTACCACAGGTGCGGCTTCAGCACTGAGACTTGTCATTGGAAGAGTTCCAGGCTCTAATATAACTTGAGAAGTGGCCAGTGTCCAGACAAATGTAACCAAACACAATAGGCAAGGACAGAAGCAGAGCCCGGGTCTGTGTTGCCTGCTAGGAAGTGCCTAGTGGTGTCACACAGTGTGCGTGTCATTCATAAATAATAAGCAATACATAAAGACATAGGCTGTCCTTGATATATTACTATACATTCCCAAGAATCTAAGGAGGGAAACAGAAACAGTGCTGTTCCAATTTGAGTGGAATTCCTAGCCTCAAGTTCCTTCAGTCTGACTTCTTGCTCAGTCCCATCTGAAATAGGATGCTGACATATCTGAAAATAATCTTAAAAACCAAAACCTAGTTACACCCTCCAAATCTGTATGCTTGTCCCTGGAGTATGTATTTTCAAAATGTGTTTGTGTACTATTGCTCATTGGCTTTTGGACAAAGAGCAATTTCCATCACTTCCATGTCTCTGCCCTTAAATGCACAGTTAATTTCATTTGGCAAAATACTGCTTCTGGGCTGGAGAGATGGCTCAGGGGTTGAGAGCACTGGCTGCTGTTTCAGAGGACCTGGGTTCAATTCCCAGCACCCACATAGCAGCTCACAACTGTCTGTAACTCCAGTTCCAAGGGATCTGACACCCTTACACAGACATATATGCAAGCAAAACACCAATGCACATAAAAATAAATCTTAAAAAAAAATACTGCTTCACCCGACAGTGGTGGTATATGACTTTAATCCCAGCACTGAGAAGGCAAAGACAGACAGGCAGATCTCTGTGAGTTCAAGGCCAGCCTGGTCTACAAAGCTACACAGAGAAACCCTGTCTGGAAAAAACCAAAAATCAATCAAACAAACACTGCTTCTAGCTGAAGGTCCGTACTTATATTTATTTGAGACAAGATCTCGCTATGTAGCCCTGGCTGGCCTGGAACTCACAGGCTCTTGCCTGCCTCTTCCTCTTCAGTGCTGGAATTGATGGCATCCGCCACCATGTCTGGCCATAGTTCTGCATTTTAAGTGACAAAATAACTTCTGACCTAGTCTCATAGTTTTGTTTGGACCCTAACATGAAATATCCATCTTGAATTTTATTTCTAGAAAAAAGTGGTTTGAGCTTTTTTAGGTTTGCTAATTTGTGTATGGGGGGGTTGTTTTTGTTTGTTTGTTTTTGTGTAATACTGGGGGACTGAACCCAGGGCCCTGTCTACACCATGCAAGCATTCTATTATTATTGAGTTACCATCTTCAGTCATCTTCATACTAAGTTACCTAGGCTGGCGTTGAACTCCCTCTCCACTGCAGTCAGCCCTTGAGGTTATCATCCTTCTACCTCAGCCTCCTGAATACTGGAATTACAGGTCCACACCACCAGGCCTGGCTGAAAACCTTCTTAATGCTGACACATCAACGTTATTTGCTTAGAAAACATTGCCCTGTGATTGATTGGCTTCCTAATAGTGTGCGATAACGTGCTTTCCTGTTAATTCATCCAGATACCATGCAGAGACAACTTAGCCACAGATAAAACTGACAGTGTTTTCTGCTGCACAGGGGCAGCTGCAGCCCTTTGCAGGTAGTGCCTATAAGTGGTTGGTTCAGGTTAATTGACCCCTTGGGGGTTCCTAGGAGTTCTGGCTCCCTGTTATCCCCGAAGTTAGCTGTGTTTAAACCAGTCAGTACCTGCACCTGCCTGCACACATCCACAAAATGAAGCCTTTCATGATTATGAAACAGCACAAGTCGGTGGGGGATGCTAGAAGATTCTAGAGGGAAACCAAGGGTTGACCCGAGAGCAGCCATCTGTGGTGGCCGACACGTTGTTTTTGGCTTCTCAGACAGCCAGAGAGAAAAGCACGAACTCCCTCGTCTGATTATAGCGGATGATGTGACTTAGAGCAATGAGGCTCTAGGGGTTTAGACACTCAGAGCACATGGACTGAAATCAATTCCAGAAGAGTCCCGGGCAGGTTTGATTATTGTTTGCAATGAAATTCTTATATTTCCTGAGAAATCTCTAAGAACTGGTAATGCTTGCCTCACAAGCACAAAATCCTGGCTTTGATCTCTGGCATGTCCCAGCACTGGAGGGGGTCAAGTAGGATCAGGAGTTCTGGGGCATCCTTGGCTACCAAAAAAGTTTAAGGCTAGCTTGGGATACATGCAACCCTGTCTTTCAAAATGAAGAAGTGGGGGAGGCTGTGGAAAGTCCAATGCTGACGCTGTCTTGTCTTGTTCTCTCCCATTTCTGAATGCAGTGTTAATGTACCATGGCGAAGCTCTTGCAGACTTCACAGGCCCTGACTGTCGTTTTGTGAATTTTAAAAGAGGCGACCATGTGTATATTTACTACAAACTTGCAGGGGGATCCCCTGAAGTTTGGGCTGGAAGTGTAAGTAAAACCATGAAAAACTTTATTTCCTTATTTTTGTTGAATTTTGTAGCACTGCAGAGTTAAATGCTATTGATGGTGTCTTTCCTTGACTGTAAACAGAAGGCTTTTCCATGGTCCTAGCAGGCCTCAGGGCTGGCACACAGTAGGGGCAAGACAGAGGTTTCTGAAACAGAACTGAACTGGTTCTGGCTATTGCCCCATAGCTATTCAAGAAGCTGCTAAAAGTCAAAATGGCAAAGACCTGAAAACCTTAACAGTTCATTGCCTTAAGAAAGAAGTATTTGCTGGGTGTTGGTGGCACACACCTTTAATCCCAGCACTCGGGAGGAAGAGGCAGTGGGATCTCTGTGAGTTCAAGGCCAGCCTGGTCTACAGAGTGAGTTCCAGGACAGCCTCCAAAACAACACAGAAAATCCCTGTCTCAAAAAACCAAAAAAAAAAAAAAAAAGTATTTGTGGTCATTAAACTCAATCTTATAAGCAATATGCAAGATAGCATTTAAGGTGTGCAGGTTTAAGTTTGTGTGACTTTTCTCTGTAAAAAAAGAAAAAAATGCCAAAAAAGCTGAAATAGGGCTAGGGAGAAAGCTCAGCCAGGACCTGAGTTTGATCCCCAGAACCTGCTTTAAAATGCCAAGATTCCTGGGTGAGCTTTTAATGCTGAGTCCAGGAGGTGCTACACCGGTGGATCCCTAGGACTCATAGACCGCCCAGTCTCACCTCCCTGGAGAGGGCAAAACACAAGGTGAGACATGACTGAGGCAGAGGCGGGCAGACCTCTGTGATTTTAAGGCCAGCCTGGTCTACATAGCCTGTTCTGGGTCAGCCTGGCCTACATAGTGAAACCCTATCTCACAACACAAAAACAAAAAAACAAACAAGCAAAAACCCACAAGGAAGCTAGCGCTTGAGGAATGACAATAAGGTTGTCCTCTGACCTTGACACATATACATCCCTATCTATACACACACATACATACTCAACTGCACACACACACACACACACACTGCACATGTACAGACCTGCACATACATGAACACACGCACATACACATGTAGGCAAGCACAAACAAAAGGGGAAATATTGTGTTCATTGTGTGCATTCGTGTTTGTGTGGCTTGCAACTTCTGAGGTATCTCTTCTTGCTTTTCTTTGTGCCTGGAAGTTTCCCCTGGGACTCTGTTCCCTACACTCTTTGGGCCTCTTGGTATCAGACGTGGAAGATAATGACTCTACCCATCATGCTCTGGCATATTTTCAGAAGGAGACTCCAGCAGTGACCTGGCTGAGGAGCAGGAGAGCTGTCCCCTCCCTTTGAAGAGGACTGATACGTGGGAGGTGGCTGCGATGACCTGTGGGACTCTTCCACTTTAGACCCCCTACTCCCACCATGCCAGTGTTCACTCTCAGTGAGACACCAAATAACCAACACAGAATAAGGTTCTAGTAGCCCCCAAGGGAGAAAACCCTTTTTTTTTCAGCTTCCTCTTGGGAATTTTTTTAAGCATTGAGTGGTGGGGCATAGCCCTTTTATTTAGACAGCATCTCAGCAGCAGCACAGACATGAGGAAGAGTCTCCGCTGTTTTCTCCTGTCTCCCCAGTGGTGTCTTGATAGTTTCGACTCTGGAGCTCTTCCCCAGGATCTGCATTCCATTTGTTCACAACACTGGTTACTATCCTTCTACCTAAGCCGGGCGGTGGTGGTGCACGCCTTTAGTCCCAGCACTGGAAGGCAGAGGCAGGAGGATCACTGAGTTTGAGACCAGCCTGGCCTAAAAGAGCTAGTTCCAGGACAGGCTCCAAAGCCACAGAGAAACCCAGACTCCAAACTCCAAACAAAAAACGAGAAACCGATCCTTCTACCTTCCCCGCCTTTGGGCTTTTGGATAAATAATCTGGCTTTGTTTTCCTTCAGCCTGTTAGCCTCTTCACCTCTAGACATACTGTTCCATGTGCATCACAGCTCTTGCTCCGTTTTTGTTTTGTTTTTTCCCTTAATGGCAGGGTCTCATGTATCCAGGCTAGCTTTAAGCTTCTGATCCCCCTGCCTCTGCCTCCCCAGAGCTGAGATAGCTGGTGTGCCCCATTTGTGTAATGCTGCAGATCAAACCGGGACTTTCTACATGGTCGGCAAGCACTCTGCAGCCCTAGCCTTCGCTTTGCCTCCCTAACAAATCCTGCGTTAGCACCCAGCCTGGTGATATGTGCCTGGGTGGGACTCTGTTTGCCCTGCTCCTGTCACAGCGTTTTACTGCTGTGCTTGTCAGCCAGCTGGCGTCTCAGCTCACTATCAGGTCAAAAGCCGGATGTCTTACCTGCCTTCAATTCTGAGTATTCCCTGACAGGGCACTACAGCACTTAATTACATCGAGTCTCTTAGTAGCTCAGGCACAATTGGCCTTCCTGAGGCCGACTCTGTGCTCCCCACCCCCACATCAGGGATGCTGCCCAGAAGCAAACTTGGACATGAGTTACTTCTGTGAGGGCCTGTGATTCCAAGAGACTGTAGGAGAGGGACTGTAGTACCCAAGTCTGACAGATCGAGAAGGAACTTCCGTTTCTTGTTCACACATCTCTGGATTCCTTCACTTTTCTAGCTCAACCTCTATAGCATTTAATCCCTGCAGAAGGGCAACATGTATTTCTGCTCAGTCTTCCCTCTCATTTCACGACCGTTACCATGTGTGGGATTAACAAGTCTCCCTAGTTTTCAGATGACTTGTTTTACTATTTACTATCTTTTTTTTTTTTTGGTTTTTTCAAGACAGGGTTTCTCTGTTGTTTTGGAGGCTATCCTGGAACTTGCTCGGTAGACCAGGCTGGCCTTGAACTCACAGAGATCCGCCTGCCTCTGCCTCCCGAGTGCTGGGATTAAAGGCGTGCGCCACCAAAGCCCGGCTTGTTTTACTATCTTAATTCTCGTCCCACAGCCTTTTTGGTTTCCTGGAGTTTAGGGTTTATCTGCCAGGCTGGTAGCTTTTCGTGCCCCAGGTCGGGGTTTATTCTATTACTAACATGGCCTCCAGATGGTTCCCAGATAAACCAAGAACACTGCCGAATGGTGAGGTTTTAGAACTAGTGATAAGGTGGCCTTTCTTCTCTTGCCTCGGACTTTCCTAACCGTCTGTCTGTCAGTGTTAAGAGAAGTCTTTTCCTTGAGAGAAGCTTTTCCGCCAGCCTGGTTCTAGAGCTGCATCAGTCCCAAATAAACACACAGGAGGCTATATTAATTATGAAGCTGTTGGCCTTGCTTGTTTCTTACTGGCTAGCTCTGACTTAAGTAATTACCCCATAATTGTTAATCTAAGTATGTTTCTTACCGGAGAGGTTTCCAGGCTTCTTACCCCAATGGCGTTACATCTCGAACTCTCCTGTGTTTCTCCTTCCCAGCATCCTCCTGGATTCCTAGCCCCACCTATCTAGATTCCTATTGGCCAGACAGTGCTTTATTAGCATAAGACTTCCCCAACAGTCAGTCTACGTTATTGGTTGGGAATAGGCCTTTGCTTCCTTTTAGATTGTAGCAGTGAGGTCAGTTCCTCAAATGGAGCTTCTATACACTGTACATTTTATGTCTTAGCTGTGCATACTGGGAAAGACTGGGGTTATTTTCTGTAGATTTATTTTACATGGAACTGAAGCCTGAAAGGTACATAAGTATGTATTACATCATAATTTTATTTACTCCCCCCAATACTTGTAGATGCTGTTTTTGGAAAAAGCTACCATAGCGTATGGCATCAACAGATATTATTTGCTGTAGCAGCACACATTTCAGAAGTCTTGTTTGCTTATCCCCATGGCCCATGAGCAATGCCATCACGTGCTCATGTAAACTCTTGCCAGGGATCACTTGGAAGTGTGTTTCCAGTTGGCTCTGGTTTGCCAAGGCTGAGCCGTACAGTTTGCGGGAAGCTTCTTTTACACAGATCTCTAGTTACTTCTAACTGTAAGGCTATGTGCTGATATGTGCCTTGGAGAACTGTTGGTTTAACAACACTACTTTTCATTAGCACAATCATTGCAGTGTCATTGTTAGCAGCAAGCATCGATTTCTCTTGGCCTATCTTGTCTATGTATTTCCGGTCACTACTAAAACCCTCCTTTGCTTTCTTGTAAGAGATTAATTGGTATTTGTCCCTTTTGCCTGTTTTTTTCACTTAGGTTGGACGAATCTTTGGATACTTTCCAAAAGATCTGATCAAGGTACTTCACAAGTACACAGAAGAAGAGCTATACATTCCAGCAGACGTAAGTTGTTCTCAGTTACAAATGGGCTTGCAAGTTCAGCTGTAATCAGTTAACACTTTTGGTGGCGTTGGTAGTGCCAGTTAAAGACAGTGTTAGGCAAGCCATTGCATTTTCCCATACAGCTCTTATAAAGTGCAATTAACTCTTTGAAAGTCAGTGAATATGTTTTGGACAGGGGCAAAGCAGCCCAACATATGTGTATCAGATTTTAATTTGGAATCAGACTAACTGAAAAAGAAGAACATTAGAAAAGCATTTGTAGAAGATTATGTAGTCTGATAATAGTTTAATATATTGAAGTTTCTTGTAGGAGGCTGTAGACTGATACGGGGCTTTTCTGTTTTGTTTTTGTTTTGTTTTTGTATGTGGAAGAATTTAATACATTAGCTAAGTGTGATGATACTTACTTATAATCCTAGTATTTGGGAGGTGGAGCTAGCAGGATCAGAAGTTCAAGGCCAGCCTGAACTATTCAAGGCTTTGTCTCAAAAAAACAAAAAAGAAAAAAAATCTTTGTACTTAGTTATAAAAGAGGTAAATAATTTTATTTTACATGCAAAAGGAGGTGTCCTAATTTGAAAATTACTCATTGGGTACTAAACATTTTAAATACGTAGAAATCAGGATCAGTTAATCAAACTAAATCGTATACAGACCTGTTCATACACTTATTTAACACTTATGCCACAGACTGGGAAAAGCAATGCTAAAGGCTTTATGTGAGGTCCAGTTTCAAGTCTGCAGAGCACAGAGCTGCTGATGTAGGGTAGTTCATGGATGGGGTGAGGAAGTGGTTCTTGATGCTCTCAGGGGTCGCCATATTATAATACCCATTGGGCTTCTCTGTTGACAAAGGCTGTACAAGATGGGAAATGTTTGTTCATCGGCCCTGAGGCCTCACCTGCTTTGGATTCTATCTTCTTGTTATACTTCCCATGACACCCTTCTTTTGACATTAAGAAAATGGATCAGAAACATATGTGATGAGAAAAGAAAGTCATTAACCCCTTCTGCACTGAACAGGTCTCCAGAATATTGTGAAAGTTTGGTTAGGGGGCAACAATTATCTTGGTTTCTCTGTTACCTTTCCACTCAGGGTGTGATTCCCTTGGTGCCAAATTACTTACTTGTGGGAAAAAGAAAAAAAATGAAGATTTATGAAAAGTCTTAAAAGCAGATGTTAATCACTGCAGAGAACTCTAACATACGGAACTGAACCTTGTTTTCAAGTTGTTGTTCCAGTAATAAAGAAAGTAGAGAACTCCTCTGACACCACTCTTCATCCCTCTAAAGCACTGGTTCTCAACCTTCCTAATGTGACCCTTTAAATCAGTTCCTCATGCTGTGGTGACTTCTAACCATAACATTACTTTCATTACTACTTCATAACTGTAATTTTGCTACTATTATGAATTGTAAATATCTGTTTTCTGATGGCCGTAGTTACGTACAACTTTGAATTCTCACTCTCTATGCGCCTATCTGTCAGTGAGATACTTTTTTAAGTTCCTAAGTATTTCCAAATCCAAGGAAAATATGTTCCAAAAATCCATGTAGACTTAGAACATGACAGCCAGGGAATTCTGCCTGTCTCTATTTGGCTGGGCAGAGACATAGGCACAGAGGACGTGGGGCAGAGAAACTCCATGGTCCTGTGACTCCCCAGAGTTGAACATCAGGCATAGATATTAGAAATGGGAGTCTCAATACAGGACTCCCCATTTTCCCCCTCTGTTGGTATGTTAGTTACTTTTCTCAGTGCCGTGGGGAAATACTTGGCAAATGCATCTTCAAGAAAGAAACACTTATTTTAGCTCACAGTTTGAGGGTGGAGTTCATCACGGCAGCGAGTCTCTTCTGCAGGAGCACGAGGTGGCTGCTCATCTTGTATCTGTGCTTCAGAAGCTGGGAGAAATGATTCCTGATGTTAAGGTTGCTTTCTCCTTACATAACCCAGGACCTCAGCCCAGGAAATGGTGCTGTCTAGAAGTAAGGTGGGCTTTCCCTTGACAGTTAACCTGGTCTAGAAACTCTGAGCAGCCATGCCCAGAGGCTTGTCTCCTAGGCAAATGTAAATGCTGTCAAGCTGACAATACAACTCATCACTGAGTGTTCAGAACAAACTGAGAAACGCAGAAGTCACGCAGAGGGAGAATAATATGTCTTCATTTGTTTACTCACTATGCTTTTTAGAGAATATGACACAGTTTTTGAAAAATGCAGAAATAATTGCAGTGTAGAATAAGACAGATTTACCTAACCAGAGCTGGCCAACTGGGAGCCTCCAACTGTCCCCATAAAACTGACAGCATGGGGGAACAGATTAATTTGCAAACAGAAACCAGGAACGGAGCCAAGCAAACTCACTAGCTACAAGAATCAGTCTTTTCCCGAGGAGGGAGAGTGAAAGTGAGTTCCTGTCTGATAGCCCCGTACTGGCCCAACTCTAGCTCAGACCCTCTAGAACAGGTACAGACTTGGAGTTATCCCTGTCACTGGTATAAGGATGTTCTTGGGACACTAATGTTTTTGTTTTTTCCATGCAGGAGACAGATTTTGTCTGTTTTGAAGGAGGAAGAGATGATTTTAATAATTATAATGTAGAAGAACTTATAGGTTCTTTGGAATTGGAGGACTCCGTATTTGAGGAGTATGAGAAACCTGAAGAAGTTTCTCAGGATGGAGTGAAGTCTCCTGAAGGGACTCAGGAGACTGAAGTTGACCCTGAGCCTGAGCCTGAGCCAGCCAAAGTGGACCCAGGGGAACGAGAAGGTGTGTTCTCAGAGAGCACTGAGGAACTGCAGGGACAGTCCTTGGCTCAGGAGAGCCACCCTCACACCAACAGAGCAGCAGACAACGCTCAGGGAGGGCCGTCTTCACTGGACAACTTCGAAGAAATGCTGCACGATAAATTACAAGTGCCAGAAAGTGAAAACAGAACCAGCAACAGTTCTCCTGTCTCAGTGGAGCAGGAGATAGATGCTTACAAAGTCCTGAAAACAGAAATGACACTTGACTTGAAAACCAAGTTTGGTTCAACCGCTGATGCTGTGGTGTCTGACGATGAGGCAACCAGACTGGTCACTTCATTAGAGGATAATTTCGATGAAGAACCAGATGCTGAGTATTCCTCAGTGGAGGATGAAGAAGAGGAGAATGCAGACAGCTTTGATGAGCTACCATTACTATCCTTTACTGATGAAGAAGGTGAGAACATCCCCAGGAAGCCTAGGATGGAGAAATTTTCAACAGATGAGAATCCGAACTTGAGTGAAGATGATAAAGTTGAACCTCCTCTGTCTCCTGGCACCCAAAATGACAATAAAGATATATTGACAACCTGGGGGTCTACTTTCTTCTCTATTATCACAGGAGGTGAAGGAAAAACAGGTGTGGATTTAGAGAGTTCTAACCCAGAGGAAGAGAAGAAGGAGGGTGTGTTGGTTTCAGCTAACCATCAGAGGAAGCCACAGTCAACATCTGGCTATATGGACCCTGAGGATGAAGAGGATGATCCTTTTGTAGAAGACTCCAAAAGAAATGGCGAAAAGGACTCGAAAATAGATCCAGAACTTGTCCTAACAGGAGAGAAGGTGATCCCAGAATCCAGGAGAGGCGAATCAGAAACACCAAGTGCTTATGAACCCCAGCGCAGCAAACTTAACCCTCTGCCAAATGCTGGAAAGGCCAAGGAATTCACATTAAAAGCAGTCTTTGAAAGAAAAGAAAATGGCCTAAAAGAACAAGTTATCCACATCTCAAAGGAGACACTCCACAAAGACAAGAGCAGAGACGACATAGAGAGTGAATCGGTACACAGAGCTCTGGGGAGTCCAGGGACAGAAAATAACAGCAAACAGGAACTCTCGGGTGCTGTGCCACTCTTAGGAGACAATCAGCCTGATGCATCCAAGGACAGGATGGAAGTCCCGGGCGCTTCCGTCAGTGGGCCAGAAGTGGGCCAATGGGAGGGATTTCAGAATCAACCTAGATTCTCCTCTCCAGAGGAAACTGGTCTTCCAAGAGACCTGGAAACAAAAGTTCCTACTCTGGGAAGAAATCTTTCTTGGCAGCAGCAAGAGAGAGATGTACGTGTTACAGAGGGCAGGGAAGACCCTGCAGATGTGGAACCACCTCACCCCCAGGCCATACAAAGGACACAGGAGGCTGATAGCCCGGAAGTGCCCAGTGTCCACACCCGAAGGCCAGAAGCAGAGGAGGATGATTTCCCTCTTGAGGAGCTACTGGAGGATGAAAATGCTGTGAGTGCACAGCAGTCTAAAGAAAACCACCCCAGGGTTCACGACAGGTCAGATATGAGTTCTCAAGTTTTTGAAAAAGTAATTTTGGGGACCCTTAATCTTGATACTGAAGAGAACAAACAAGCAATTAATACGATTCTGGAGACTGGAAAAGAGAGTGAAGCCGTGTTGGAAGAGGCAGACGGTGTGGGCGAGGAGTCAGGTAGTGTGGTGACGGACAATGAAGGAAGTCGTCTGACAGATGTGAGAGCTCAGGGGCCACCTGAAGTCGACAGCCTTCATGAGATGGCAGGTCACGCTTCAGACTTCGGGGAAGCCATTCAGAGTAAAGATCCTTATGACCTACAAAAAGACAACCCCGAGGAACTAGTCAACACCTTGGGACTTGAGATTCCTGGGGGGGGAGAAATCTCAGAATGGGAACTTGATGATCCGGAGAAGCTTGGAGGCTCAGAAAGCCAGGGGCATGATGCTGAACACCTTGGGGATGACCCACCCCAGCAAGATACACCTGAAATTCCCGACATAGTGCTCAAGAGCGTGAGGGAAGACCTGCCCATCATAAACAGCTTCTTCAGGGACCATAAGTCCCTGTATCGCTTCTTGAAGTACTTTGATGTCTATGAGCTGGAGGGCATGCTACAAGACATGGCCATAAGGCTGAAATCGGCACATCGGGAAAGCCTGCCTTACAATGCGGAAAAAGTCCTAGATAAAGTTTTCCGCACCTCAGAGTCACGGATCCTAAGTGTGGCAGAGAACATGCTTGATACTCGAGAGAACAAAAATAGAGATCTGGGGACACAAAAGAACAGCGTGTTAGAGGAAGCTGCGGTGTTGGATGACGTACAAGACCTGATCTATTTTGTCAGGTACCAGTACTCTGGAGTAGAGACTGCCCCACTGGCCACACCTCCACCTCAGGAGGAGGTCGGGTCTGGGCCAGTAGAAGGTAAAGTACCTGCCTGTGACCTTGTGGAGTTAGGCTGGGAAAGCTGGAGCAGGGTGGCCAGGAGGGAGAGGATGTGTGCTTGGGGTGGGGTCGTAGGAAAGTGCTTCGTTTCCTGTGTGTAAAAGTCTGTGTCTAAAGAAATGGCCCTGGACCTCCTGGGCCTCCTCCCCTTCCAGCTTCCTTTTAGGCTGAGCATGAGTGCAGATTGCCCCCAGCCCCAATACTGTTTTTCTCCTTCCGTACGACAGCTGAAATTGGTTTTCATTTTCAAAAGGGAACTTTACAAAAATATTAAGAGAAATATATAACCAAGAAAATAATTCACAAAGTAAAACTCTTAACAAAGTACAGCTTTCATGTAAGGAAAGGGGCTTAATAAACACAATTTCTTCATATGGTTATTTATACTGCCACACATTCAGCATTGACTGCTTTCATGACATTTCGAATATGCAATGTACTTGAAGCAAGCCCCTTCTCTACACCAAGCTACCCTCGCTTCTCTCGCCCCTCCCTGTCCAGGTAGCCTGTCTGTTCCTCTAGACAGATAAGTTTCAAACACAAGTACATATTTGTTGAACTGACTCCAGGATACCCTGCCAGAAGCTCCCGATCCCTAGTTGCACCTTATATTCTGGGTGCCCATGCTTTGCAAATAGACGTAGCTGCACTGCAGGTGAACAGTAGTGGGCATAGAGTTTCGGGAACATCTGTCTTCCTGGAGGTACTAATTTTCCTGAGACTTGGAAGAAGTAAGCTTTTTTTTTTTTTTAATCAAAGCTTTTGGTAAGAATGGAAAATTCAGGTTGGAGAGATGACTCAGCAGTTAAGAGCACTGGCTGCTCTGGCAGAGCACCTGAGTTCCATTTCCTGCCCCCACAAGACCGCTCACAACCATTATACCTGTTCCAGGGGATCTGATGCCCTCCTCTGGCCTCTGTGGGCACTGCATGTACATGGTACACTTATAAACACACAGACAAAATAGCCATACACAAAAAATAGAATAAGTCTTTTTCTTAAAAAAAAAAGATTAAAACTCAAATTAAGCTTTTGGTATAAAATACGAGGCTGCAAAGATGCATTCAGGCTCACGGGGAAGGAAATGGGCCCATTCTTTGTTGCTTGGGAGTAGTTTGACAGAATTTGACAAGCTGCCCATGTGCAGAATGCCCTGCTCTACATGAACCCAGCTGCCTGGGTATGAAGGAGGGTGTGTTCTGTATGTGGTTCCTGGGTTCTGTGCTCGACTGGAATTCTCTTCTGTGTGGCTATGTGGGCACATGCTGGCTTGCCCTGGCAAGTCAATGGAGTCTCTTCTATGAATGCATTTATGGAACACTGTGGAGTGGAGGCTTCTTTGTAAATCTGTACTTCAGTCATTGTTAATCTAGAGGGAAGGAGTTAAAACTCCTGCTTCCGTTTCCACTTGTGCACACGTCATCTAGGATGTTGGGCTGTGTGGTGAGGCAGTGTTGGCAGTTGGGTGAACCAAAATGGACCTTTGATCAAGCTCTCTCTGTGTTCCTCCCCAGAGCTTCAGCCACCCATGAAGGACAACTTACCACAAGAAAACACAGAAAAACTTAGTGTGCAGCTTCCGGAGCAGCCTGGTGTCTCAGATCAAGCTGCGACCAGCGTGCAACTTACAGAGGAGCCTGGTGTCTCAGATCAAGCTGCGACCAGCGTGCAACTTACAGAGGAGCCTGGTGTCTCAGATCAAGCTGCGACCAGCGTGCAACTTACAGAGGAGCCTGGTGTCTCAGATCAAGTTGCGACCATCCTGCAACTTACAGAGGAGCCAGGTTTCTTGGATCAACCTGTGACCGGTGTGCAGCTTTCAGAGGAGCTTGGTCTCTTGGATCAACCCGTGACTGAGCCCATGAGCACCTCAGAGGTGTCACATGCGTCAAATGGTGAGAAAGACATAGGCCCAGGTAAAGTTTATTCTGTACAAAGTAGACATGTAGTGTAAAGAAGGCCTGCTAAGACTTTATTTGCAGAGGCAGGAAAGAGAACAATCCAGGTATGTGCAAGATTTAAAAGTCTTCCCTCAAGTAGCAGAAAAGCATTTCAGATGCATGGAGTTCATAAAACAGGAAGGAAGCCAGGGGCTGTCATTAACTTGCAAACCCGGCCGCTATAAATCATGTCAGTGTGAACCTGAGCTCTTGTCCCTCAAAGGTCACAAGCTCTAAGGCAGAGCATTCCATTAGACAGCAGCACTTGCAGTGCTGGCCTGGGACAGCAGCAGTCCACATGAAATAAGCCCCCAGGAAAGCCGACAGGCACCAGGTAAGAGTCCAAATTCCTGGTCCTGGTTCTCCCTCTACACTCCCACTCCTCTGAATGGCTACAGTAAGTAATTCAGTTGCTGTTTTGACTTGTTGCCTCCAAAAAGCAAACACAGCTTTTTAAGATGCCGTGAAGGGGCTTAGATGGTTTTTGAGAGTAGGCCTTTAGGCAACAATGCAGGAATGACAGTCCAGACGAGACTGACATGTGAAATTGTAAATACTTGATTTACAGCACACAGGAAATATGGGTGGAAGATAAAAAGTGTTTTGTTTTGCTTTTTAACATCCTCAATAATGGTTTCCTAATTGCTGTATCGCTTACTCTCATCTCACTAGTAGCTCTCATCGTGTTATCTGCCACCCAATGCAGTGCCATGAGGATGGCATTACTGAGTTTCTTGGGGGGGGTTCACAACCCTGGGAACCATACTCAGGACCTCCTGCATGTTAGGACAGTGTGTTACCACTGACTGCCACTCCAGCAGTATTTGGGTGTGCACAGGAGAGTGTGTATGTGAAACACGGTTTCCTGTCACTAGGTAGAGTGTGTGTGTGAAACACGGTTTCCTGTCACTAGGTAGAGTGTGTATGTGAAACACGGTTTCCTGTCACTAGGTAGAGTGTGTATGTGAAACACAGTTTCCTGTCAGTAGGTAGCTCTCCAGCTCACACACAAAATGTAGGGAAGGTCACAGCAGGGAGAAGTCTAACTGAGCCAAGGGGGACCCCTCTGTTCCAGAGGACATTATGTTCATGTGTAACATTTCCAAGTTACTTTTAATTCAGAAAGTACCTGTTTAAAAAGTCAGGCACCACTGAGATGCGTTGCTTTTGCTCAAAACCTTCAGGATTGGGAAAAGTTGGGTTTATAGAACTCGGAACAGAATCTTTGCTTTAGATCCTCCCACATAGTGCCAGCTACCTTTCTAGGTAAGTCCTTCAGGAGCTAGGATGCTGGGAAAATGTCATCATTGTCAGTACTAGGTCAATAGTGAACTGAGTTTTAGGGTTGGGAGAGACCCCTAGAAGGTCCAGTCCAGCCCCCCATTAACTGCTGTTGACAAGACATGCTGAGCTCATGCATTTCAAGGTGAAACCCTGCCTGCCCCTCCCCCACCTGCTCGTGTGGAATCCTCTCAGGTATGACTGGGCTTTCCTTCTTTCATAAAGCTTCTATGCAGTTCCCACTCAGCAAGTAGTTCTTTCGCGTCGTTCCTGACATTGACATTTCATGTAGTTGTCACCTGTCCATAATAAGTATTAAGTACCTGCTACATGCCACTATGCTAAGCCTCAGTGTATTCTATGTGCAAGCCTTTTTCCTTTACTATTGTTACTTAGTGTGTGTGTGCCATGTCGCACATGTAGAGAAGGCAACGTTCATCAGATCTTTCTTCTGCCACGTAGGTTGCAGGGATCAAATCAGGTCATTTCGGCAAGTACTCTTACTGAGCCATCTTGTTGGCTTCCAAAAGTCATTCTTTTACAACTCTCCTAAAGTTTCTAATCCAGTGTTTTGCAATCACCAAATCACAGTTGGCTGAATGTGCTTGTGTCTAATTGGTTTTGTTTGATGGTGCTGGTTTTTGAATTTTTTGTTTTGTTGGTTGGTTTGGTTTTGTAGAGATTGTTTTGTTTTATGTTTTGAGACAAGGTCTCTCTCTGTAGACCAGGCTGGCTTTGAACTCAGAGATCTCCCTGCCTCTGCTTCCTGAGTGCAGGGATTAATAGTATACACCACTCTGCCTGGCAATTCTGTCTATAAGGAGAAAGCATAAAATTTGGGGGTTTGTTTTCAATTCCCCTGAATGGACAGGACACATGATGGGGTACCCTGGACAGTGGAGATGATTTTATTTTTATAATGCAAGTGTCTGATGGATCTGATTAAGATCCTGGCTTTTGTGTGTCTCTATGTAATTTTCCTTAGAAGACTCAAATATTCTACGCTCAATGACTAGTATTTACAGGACACTCAGTAAACATGTAAATGAAGAGAAACAATTCTTATTCTAAAGCAGAAAAGAAAATATGGTGTCTTTTGCTTCTTTTCAGCTTTCCCTGTAACCGAAGGCTCTCCTGTTGGGGCTGGTGATGATGCAGAAAAGCTCCTGGAGACGAGGGCAGAGGAGCCAGCAGATGTCCCGCCTCTGGACAATGCACTTGGTCCCCTGCATTCCTTCATTCTTTATTTAAGTAAGATGGTAAGTCTGAGTTCCCTCAGCTAGAATGCTGACTACTACAGGGATGCTCTGCAGGGAGGAGGTTTGGGTGAGGACTGACAACAGCCAAGGCTGACCTTGAACTCCTGATCCTCCAGCTAATACCTCCAAAGTGTTAATGTTATATAGCCATGGGCTACCACCTTGGCTTGATTTATAGCAGGTTTTACGTTGACTCTGACTTCACTTGAGTGAAGAATTTAAAATGTCTTCATGATCTCCGAGCCTCTGAAGGTGAGTCCCGAGAAGAGCTGCAGGTGGATGGCTTTAATTAAGAGCTCTTAGTTTAACACATGAGAATTTACTGCCTGGCAAGACTGGGCAGGTACACACCTAAAAAGCATGGCTCACCTCCTGGGGACCTTTCAGTACCCCAGGGACCTGGAGACGTCCACTTGAAAGAGGATTTTGTCAGGGTTGGTAGAGAAGAAAGGACGTTAGGAGTTAGCTGAGATGTGGTACGCAGAACCTAAGGGAATATGGTGCATAGTTTGTTGATGAATAATGGATGGGAAAGGGTAAGAGGAGCAATAGGCACAGAGGTGACAACATGCTCAGAGAAAGGGAAGCATGAAGAGAAGGGAATGCTGGGAAACTAGGGAAGCCATGGTGTCTGTGGAGAGGAGGGCCAAATGACGAAGGCATCATGTGTGCCGTGAGTTCTGTCAAACTGTCAGTGTTCGGTTCCCTTTGAAGGTCTGAAACAGGGAAGCGGCTGGTCAGATCTGTTTCCTAGAAAGAGCTATGGTAACAAAATGTTTATTTAGGCTAATCTTTCTGAGGAGAGTTGGGAATCCAAGAAGACATTTAACCATCCTTAGTAGCTTAGTCAAGTGTGGGGGATTTAGCTCCCCCTTGCGGTGTGTGTGGACATTGAACTTTTTTTTAAGGTAAGTTGGATGAGTCTAGAGATTGAAGTGGTGCCGGGACTGCAAAGTGTCACAGCTGTCTCCTGTATGGCCTGTCATTTTGAGGCTTGTGTAATAGTGTTTTGCTGTTGATATTTTCTATAAACAGGTTTTGATTCAGGGAGGTCTTGTTTCAAATCCTAATTTAAACATTTGTGCAAATTACTAAACCTTGTTTAATTGAAGCATAAGGACTATACATCTTTATGGTATGGGTTCTGGACATTTGATAGATGTGTACATTATGTAATGATCAAATCAGAGTAGTAATCAGGACAATGATCATTTATTTCTGTGTGTACTCATGTTAAGTGTTTTTACACACACACACACACACACACACACACACACACACATTTAATGTCTGTGCACACGTAGATGCAGATGGAAGGTAGGCAGAGGACAATCTGCAGGAGTCAGTGCCGTCTTCTAGCTTGTGGGTCCTGGGAAGCAAACCCAGGCCTGGAGTTGGCAGCAAGCACCTTCGCTGCTGAGCCACCTCTCCAGCCCTTCTGCAATCATTTGACAAAACTTATAAACTGTGATGCAGAGGACTCAGAACCAACTCCACTGTGCTTTTCTGTTCCTCGTTTAATTCCTTTCTGTCCTCCTGACTCCCCCTTCTGTGTCTACCAACCACTCCTCCATTCTGGTTTTCTCCAAGATGACTAAACTCTGAACCTCAGCTTCCTTATCTGAGAAGTGCACATAAAAACTACTTCTGCTGCAACAGCCGAGTGGTTGGACAGGGTGAAGTGCCCGGGGAGGTGTCTGGCATGCTATGGGATCTCCTCCCAGTCCTGGTTCTTTCTTATAGTCAGAGGGCAGCATAAAGATGCTGACTGCCCAGCAGATTCAGAGGAGAGGCTGCCTGGATGAGAAAGATGGAGCAGAGCAGAGTATCTTCAGTTTTCTTCACGGCTGCTGATGCTGGGGTGGTAGCTGCTGGCAAAGGTGTGATGGTTTTGAGCCGTTACAATTATGATGCTTCCAATGAGAAGCATCCTCATGATGCTGTCCTTTAAGAAACACAAATGCTGGGATGTGGGATGAAGTCTGTCTTCCTCACAGTCCTAGGCATGTACAGGACTCTCTTCTTGGTTCATAGAGACACAGATCACAGATACGGTACAGGATATGGCCCCCACTTGCAAGGTGACAGGAACACACAGACATAAAAGGCAAACAGGGACACAGTGCTACAAGATGCTGGCTCAAAGTGCATGTTCCAAAAGCATTTAAACGGCTCAGTATGCATGCACAAGGCATCTGCTAGGAACCAGAGATTCCAGTATGGGGACTAGCAAACGGCTCAGCAGGCAAAGGCACCTGACGCCAACTCTTGACTACCCGAGCTCAATCCCACACCCACCTTGTGGGAGGGGAGAGCCAGTCCATCAGTTACCCTCGAGCCTCCACACATGGGCCATAATGTGCACATGCCCGTGAATACCTACCCACAAATAAGCAGATGTAATAAGAGGGATTCTAATATGGGCCAAGCACAGTCCTGATTTCTGAAAGGCTTGTGAGGGTAAGATATGTGAAAACTGAGAACCTATGAAGTTTCCAACAAGGAGCACAGTTACTCGGAAGGTGATGAGTCCTGCTTCCATGAGGGGAAATGCAGCACCACAGGTCAGCTTCATGGGTCTATTGGTGGCTGACACCTGGTATCCTACAATTAGAAGGGACTTTGGAAGATGAATGCCCAGGGTCTCACTAATTACAGTAATTTCCTGACAGGTCCCATGATGAGGTCTGTGCATTCACAATTCTTTAAGTTTATTTATCTTTGAAGTTTCATACAAATATATAATGTGTGCTCAGCATCTCCTGTCACCACTCTGCTGGCCCTTTCCCATCCCCCTGGCTAGTTCCCTTCGTTCCCCTGAACAGTCCACGTCCATTCTCATGTCATATATACCTGTATGTTTTTATGTGTCTAATTAAAATCTAGGAACGGTCAATGATAGAAAACACACCTGTCTTTCCAGACGGGCCTACTTCACTTAGTACGTTCATCTCTAGTTGGGTCTACTTTCCTGCATGTATCAGTGATTTTCAGTGTAAGCCACCTGCCTTTCAGGGCCAAGCATTCTTCTGTAGACAACTCATTTTTATATCGACTCAATTTCCTTCTATATGGAACTCTCTGTAAGATGTAATTCCTTTTGTACACAGTCATCCTTTGAATACATCAAGTTGTATCCTGTTTTAAATTTCTAGGCTTTTTTTTTTTTTTTTGACACAGGGTCCCTCTACACAGCTCTGGCTGTCTGTCCTGGAACTCAGTATATAGACTGGGCTGGCCTCAAACTCACAGAAATCTGCCTGTCTCTGCCTCTAGAGTGCTGGGATTAAAGGTGTGTGCCACCATGCCCAGCTTTTTAATATTTTGTCATGAAAATTCCAAACAAAAGCAGAGAGACTAAGTAGGTGATCAACATTAGATGACAACAATGTAACATTCATTTTCAATCTGGAAGGAGTTCTGTAAGGTTTTGCCATATAGAAATAAGAAATGCTTGAGACAGGTTTAGTCTTTTAAAAGAGTCTTTTTGAGGAAGCACGAGTCTCAGACCAGTTACGTTGTGGACTTTTTTTATGGCAGAACTTTAAACATATTTAGTTCTTAATTTTTTTCACAGTGGTCAGTATTATTTCCCATCTTGTTGGATGTATTTGGAAACCACATCCTAGCACTGTATACGGTTACTATTGCTGTTGGTATTTTGGTCTGAACTGGCCTGGAAGTCACTTCTGTATCGAAGGCAACTCTCAGAGCTGGAGCCATCTTCCTGCCTTGGCCTCCCAAGTGCCAGGATGGCTACTGTGAGTCCCCACTCCTATCCCACTTTCTTTTTACGTGCATGGGTGGTGGTGCTTTTTCTGCATGTATGTCTGTGCACTGTGTGCCAGCCTGGTATCCATGGAGACCAGCCTAGGGCCTCAGATCCCCAGGGACTGAAGTTACAGACAGTTGTGAATTACCATCTGGATTCTGGGGACTGAATTCCAGGTCCTCTGGAAGAGCAGCCAGTGCTCTTAACTGCTGAGCTAACCACAGAGTCACCTCTCCAGCCCCTAGTCTTAAGTGTCTTCACCTGTGTTTGGGTGGAGTTGCATGTAGAGGCCAGAAGAGGGAGTTGGATATCCTGGAGCTGAAGTTACAGGCATTTGTGAGCTGCCCACCAGGGTTCGAGGAACCCAATTCCAGTCCTCTGCAAGAACAGTATGAGTTCTTAGCAGCTGAGACACCCTCCAGCCCCTTACTTCTGATCATGGTCTATGCTAGGGTCTTACTTTGTAACCCGGTAAACCCATTACATAGCCCACATTGGTTTCAAACCCACAGCAATGTTCCTGCCTCATCCTTCAACCTCCTGTGAAGGGAGATTTCTGGATTTTATTTTCTATCCTATGGTCTGTATTCCTGGGCTCGAACCCAGTCACCTCCTCTCACTATGGGCTTTCATTGTTCTTTCAAGGTCTTTTCTTTTTGTTGTTGTTGTTCTGCAACCCTGGTTCTCATTTAGGAATGTAAAAACCCCTCCCTCAATTATATATCCCCATTGCCTTCAACTTTAAGAATATGATTTCCAGACTATTTATTACCCTTGTCCATTTCCACAAAGTGTGCAGCCTTGAAAGGAGAGACTCCCAAATGGGGATATTGGTGAAGAATTGGTAGTGACAGGATTCCTCCATAAGGCTGTTTGTAGCCAAGTGGGGGTCAGGAGGGGAACTCTAAGAGGAGGACTGGAGTGGGCAGGAAGGAAAGCATTACCCAGGAGTCAGTCTGATCCATGACCCGTCAGAAGGGATGCAGAGATGCCTGATCTTGCTTGTCTGGACTCCCAGAACTTGTTCCCTCATGACAGGTCCAGTTCTCTTTTCCCAGGCTCCACCCATAAGCCCATCTTGCTAGCTCCTTGGCCATGTTGACCCGTCCCTTGTGGCAGGTGAGCTCTCTTGGTCTGGACTACCCTTCACTGGGTCTCCTCACCTTGCACTCGTCCCCCCTCCTCCCTTGATGCAGCCCGACTCTGTTATTCTCCCCTCCCCTCTCCTCCTCCTTGGTTCTCCTGCGCTTCTCTGCGTTCTCCCCGCACCCCTGCCTCACTCACTCGGCCTCTTCTCGTCAACTGAGTGTCCTTCCCCCCTCTCTTGGACTCTCCCGCCCAGTCCTATGCTCTTCTCTCCCCGTCCTCACTCCTCGACGGTTCTGCTAACCTTTAGGCTCACTCCTTCCCCCTCACCTCCTCCCTGGATTCTCCCGAGGTGGTTGGTTTGTCCCGCACTAGTCCCGCCCCGGCTCTCCCGGCTCGCAGGCTTCCAGGGTGAGCTGACGTGGTCTCCTGGGCGCTGGCTGATGACGTGTTTTCCTGGTGGCCTAGTGCGGAAGGTGCAGCGACCCGGGAAGGCGAAGTTCATCCCGAGTGTCCGCCCCCCTGAGCCGGTCCTTCCCGAGGCGGAAGCGGTGAGAGCCGGCTCGGTGCTGTCCGCAGGAAGCGTCGTCTCCGCGCAGCTGCCCCTACGCGATGGACTCGGTGCCTGCCACCGTGCCTGCTGTCACCGCCTCCCCGGGGGACCCCGAGCTGCTGGGCCCCCTGTCGGTGCTCTACGCAGCCCTCATAGCCAAGCTGCTGGAGGTGACAGTCCCCACTCCCCGGCAGGGCCCGCGGCTGTGGCAGGCGGGGGGACCAGTGCTGGGCAGAGTGGGTGCCCAGAGCCACAGCCCCGGAGAGGCGGGCGGGGCCGCGGCGTGGGACCCTCAGGTGGCTGGCTCGGTTTTCACAGAGCCCTGTCGAGGTGACAGGTGCTGTGCTACGTGGTGGAGTCCTTTGCTTGTGTCGGGGGTGGGGCCAGTACTGTAACTAGCAGGCAGTGAAAGTGTGGCGTGAGCAGGTGTGTGATAATAATACCTTTAAGGAAACATTTAGAGCTAAGGCACTGAGTCGCCTAGACGACGTTTGAGAGCATGACATGACCACCAACTCCAGAGCTGACCGAACTTACTCAACACTTGTCTTTGTGAATGTAAAAATGGAGCCCGTATGTAAAATATTAGGGGAATAATACATTGTATTATCACACTGGGTTTATTTGCACCCACAAAGGTTGGTTAGTTATATATTTAAAGCTTTCGTGTTGTGCGCTTTTCAAAGTAATAAAACAACTTATCTAAAAGTATGATCCAGGGAGTTTCTAACTATCTATAGACAACACAATATGGCAGTTTCTAATAGAAACTGGAAATATATGCCCGACGTAAAGGTAGTTAGACACTCTGCTGAGAACACTACAAGTCAAACAAATAGGAGACTGGCAGTACCCTGTGCTTCTTTAAGCGGGAGGTATTGAACAGGGCCGGAAGTACTTATCTGACAGAGACTGGTTAGAATTTCTGTGATGACTCTTTCTGGATGTTTTGTAAGATTTTTCAAGGTTTTCCATTATTTCTAATACGTCTGTTTCAGTTCATTGCCACGTTGCCTGCTAATGTTCAGCCTGGCCCTGACTTTTATGGACTCCCGTGGCAGCCTGTGATTGTTACTGCAGTCTTGGGAATTGTTTCATTTGCAATCTTCTCCTGGAGAGCTATTCTTGTTGTAAGTAAATCAAATTATCTCATCACATGACTCCAAAGTACATGGGGTATATTGTAATCACTGACCCTTTTACTTAATTATTTTTAATTACTAACATGAATACAAATTAATGGCTATAATTCTAGCTAACCTTGTCAAATAATTTAGTGTAAATCTTTGTATTGATAAAGGCTTAAAGAACAAGTTAACATACTTATAATTTTTATCGGGAATCTATTTTGATTTAAAAAGCTTAAATCATTAGGTAGATACATGTACACTGTAAATAGAACTGGGAATTCTTAAAACCATATTTAAAAATAATTTCATAATATGTATCAGAAGTTTTAAAAATGAAGTTGGTGAATAATAACTATCTTCTTAAATAGCATGATACCTTGTGTAGTAATCTATCTGAAAGAAATAACTAATCATACATTAAAGATCTTATTCAAGAATGTTCAATGAGACAGTCTTTATTTTTAATTAGTTATTAGGAGTGTGTGTGTGTGTGTGTGTGTGTTTTCTGCTTGTGAACCTGTACATATGCCATGGAGGGTGTGCGGAGGTCAGAGTACAATTTTGTTGAGCTGGTTCTCATCTTCCACCTTTACCTGGATTCCAGGGATTGAACTCATCATCAGACTTACACCATCAGGCAGTGGGCACCTCTACCTGCTAAGCTATCTTGTAGCCCTGGAAGAGTATTTATTGGAGTGGGAACTTGCAGCAACCTAATATGTATCCATATAGGGAAATTTGCTGATTACAAAGACAGTGAGATACTTACTATGAAGTGGACTGAAGCACAAACCAACTTGAAAAGTGGTGTTAAACTGCACACATAAACCCACTCACAGTGACCCATGGCCAGCAGATGAGGCCATTTCAGTCTTTTTCCATTGTGTGTTGTATGTATTTGCATGTGTCATGTGCATGAGGGTGTGGGTGACTGGGGAGTCCCGGAGAGCCTGTCAGATCCACTGGAGCTGGAGGTCTAGGTGGTTGTGGGCCACCCAACATGAACCAAACTCCCATCTTCTTTGAGGAAAGCAGGTGTTCTTAACCCTGGAACCATCTTTCAAGCCTTAGTCTTTTTCTTTGTATATCTTTCTCAAGTTTTCTGGTTTGATCACATGCTGTGGTGCTCCAAAAATATCCCTTTCATTTGGAGTTACAGATTATAGGTTGTTCAAAGACATATTCTGATGTTTTCATTTCTGTTTTTCCCCATGAGCAGAAGTTGTGTTTCAGATATACACATTCACCTCTGAAGCCTTGGACTTTCCCTGGGATTCCTGGGTTTCGCTTCTTCCCACTGACCTGCTCGTGTTAGTTCGGGTGAAATGGGAGAAGTGAGACTTATTCTTTGATTGACAAGTCTAGAACATTAGAGAGATGATCATCCATTTTCCTGTGTTGGAAGTTTTTTTGTTTGTTTCATTTTAGCTCCTAAAGCTGGAGTTACAGACAGTTTTGATCTGCCGTATTGGGGCTGGGAATTGAACCCAGGTCCTCTGGAAGAGCAGCTACTGCTCTTAACCATTGAACTATCTCTCCAGCCCCTGAAGGCACCTTCTTATAACAAGATATTTACAAATGTTTTATATTGATAAGATTGAAATTCCATGGATGACTTGTAGATGGGCCACCACTTTAAAAATAGCGTTTGAGGGGCAGGAGAGACGATGGCTCAATAATTTAGTACTTGCTGCTCTTGCAGAGGACCCAAGTTTGACGGCCAGCACTCAGAGGGTGGCTCATAACCATTGACAACTCCAGTTCCAGGGTATCCAGCGCCCACTTCTGGCTTCCACAGCCACTAGGCATGCATGGGGTGCCCATACATATATGTAAGCAAAACACTCATACATATAAAATACATATTAAAAATTTAGATAGTAGCATTGGAAAGGAGAAATATATTTTGAGTCACAAAGAAATTTAGTAGGCCAGCACAGTGGGTAATGGTGCCTGCAGCTCAAGACTGACAACCTGAATTTTATCCCAGGGTCCAACGTGGTTGAAAGAAAGAACCCACTTCCACCAGTTGACCTCCGACCTCCACGTGTACATATGTATGTCCTGGCATGTGTGCACGCATACACATGAGCATACAGATAAATTATTGTCATTTTAAAACTATATTTGGCCCAGGTATTGTGGCATACACCTATAACCCCAGGACTCAGGAGGCAGAGGCAGGTGACTACATGGTTAACCTGGTCTGTGTAGAGGTTCCAGCCTAGCCAGGGCTACAGAGGGAGAAAAAAAAAATGGAGTAAATCTTTCTACACTAGTTACTGCCTGAGCTTTATTGCTCTGGAGGTCATTACTCCCCTCCTGGGAACGATGGTTTTAGCTGCCAGCTGTCCTGTACATTTCCTCTGGAAAGCATCCTTTCAGGCCTGGTACCACTATACCATTGTTAGCAGTCTTGGAAGTCATATGATACTCTATGTGTGTCCATGTTTGTGTGCACGCATTTGTGTGTGCATGTGTGTGAGTGTGCATGTGTGGAGCTCAAAGGCAAACCCCTGGTGTAGTCCTAGCCTTCCTATGTTTTAATTGTTCAGCACCACATCTGGCAGGCTGCTGGTTTGTGGGATTCTGGGAAACTTCTGTTTCCCATCTCACTGTAGGAGCACTGGGGCTACAGATGTGTACTACCATTCCCATGGGTTCTGGGGATCCACACTCAGGCCCTCACACTTGCATGGCAAGGACTTTATCCACCACCCCAACCCTATCATATTATTTCTAAATTCAGCAGGTGTGCAACTTTGAATAGGATTTCTAGGATGTTTTCCGGTGAGTGCACATCTAAAGACAACGATTTTCCCTTTAGTTTTGTCTTTTTGAACACCGATTTCTAGTTTATTCTAGCTATTGGAACTGTCAGATCATATCAAGTAAATAAATTACTGATATGTTTATTGCCAGTAGCCATATGTGTTATTAAGCATCAGTGCTCATATCTTAAGATTGGTGCTCTTTTAATAGATGTACAAACATACATTTAACTGCAAAACACTTCTTAGTGTTTTTTTTATCTATTGAGGCTATTTATGAAGTATTAGTACCAATTACATTTGCAGTGTCTTTTAGCTTTGTCTTTTTAATTTTTTTTAAGATTGCGTTTATTTATCTGTTTGTATGCATTTGAGCCATGGTGCACCTGTCAGATCAGAACACAACTTGCAGGTTCTCTCTCCTTACCGTGTAGGTCCTGGGATGGAATTACAATGTCAGGGTTAGCGAGTGGCCAGCACCTTTGCCTGCTGAGCCATTGTTCCAGCCCAGCCTTTCTTTAAGTTTTAATACTAAGGATTTATTATCCTGAACCAAGTTGTTGCTAAATTCTCATTTGTTTATGATTCTCACTCCTGTATTAGGAACAACATGCTAATTAGGTTTTGACAACAAATTTTATTTCTTTTCTTCTAGGTAAAGAGTAGAGTATATCAAGGTAAATCTTCAGGTTCATTTTCCCTTGTCTCAACCCCTCTGCATTGGTGTCTGATGTGAGTTTTCTGTAAGCTAGACAGAGATGCCATGACTCCTCATGTCTGACGGCTTCATTAGCTCCTGGGAGATCACTGTTTCTAGGCCACCGACTTGGCTCATAGAACCATGATGACGCCAGCCGAGAGCAGCAAACTGAGGGGGCGGGGAGATCAGGGTTGGATAATGTGGGCAGTTCGACTTTGAATGTTGGTGCAGTGCAGGTTTATTACATGTGAACACATTAAGTCCTTACTTGAGTAGATGGCATGCAGGATGGTGGAATGAACTGGTATTTTGTATTTCTCAGTTTCTTTTTGCAAATGACATTTGAAGTGATCCCATTTTTCTGAGATGGAATCAAGTTATGGCATTTCCTTAAATTCTGTATCTGTAAAATACATTTAAAGTCTTCATACTGTATTTTTCAAAACTTTAATATTCTTACACCCTTATTGCAATCACTACAGACTGCCTTTAAAGGCTAAACAGTCATGCAGAGTATGTTTTCCTTTTAGTGCCTGACAACATGCCTTTGCTGCTAATATACTGGGGTATCCGACTTTAGCTTGGGCTCACAAACTTACAGATTTCCCTTCTTTTTAGTTACTGAGAAGCAAATTTATGAGAAGTTGGAAAATACCAAGAAGGAAAATGCAGAACTTATGCAAAAATTGTCAAATTATGAACAAAAGGTATAATTATTCTAACTTCTTCCCTTCATTCCAGTTTGAATATTTCTGCCTTAAACATTCCGTTTGTGATTTTTTAAAGAAACATATTTTACTTCATCATTTCCTATGAGCCATCCAAGACATAAGCAGTTGCTTTTGTAGGAGGTTGTGTGCTTTGGTAGCTTTATAATTTGTAGTTAATTGTAAGTTGCAACTATTAACCCTAAACACTTTGTTTTACATAGATCAAAGAGTCAAAGAAACATGATCAAGAAACCAAGAAACAAAACATAATTCTGTCTGATGAAGCTATCAAATACAAGGTAAAAATGTCTTTTGGGAAGAATGACATTCTAAAAGAGAAAATGAATGAAATGAGTAATTCTGACTAATCTTAGTGTCTTTGTTTTTGTTAAGGATAAAATCAAGGTACTTGAAGAAAGTAATAAAATTCTGGGTGACAAGGCCAAAAGTCTTCATCTTATGTTAGAATCTGAAAGAGAACAGAGCACCAAGGATCAGGACTTGGTAAGTTTAGCTGCTAACTGGTAATGAAATTGGGCTTGTTTTTTTTGGGGGGGGTTTCCTTTGGTTTTTTTGAGACAGGGTTTCTCTGTAGCTTTGGAGGCTGTCCTGGAACTCGATCTGTAGGCCAGGCTGGTCTCGATCTCACAGAGATCCACCTGCCTCTGCCTCCTGAGTGCTGGGAGTAATTGGGCTTTTGAATGGTTCTGTAGTGAGGACAACTCTCCTCTTGTTAACTAAATTGAAAATAGGAGTCAGGGAAGTTGAACCAACTTGTGGCTTATCTTGGAGAATTATAACTTGTAACCCAACGAGTTATTCTTATGGGCATAGGAAGAACACCTTTGTTCTCAACGTGGGGTAATTGCCAATAGCTTAGCTGTGCTGTCCAGAACAGGTGGAACAGCTAGAATTCTAGCCTTATTGAATGGCTCAAGTCTCATTTCAATAAACTTATTTCAGTTTCATATAACAGTTGCAGAGAAAATAGATCTCTCATTATATCTACCCTAAGGAAGTATTAGTCACAGTTCTCTGTTAAATTATTCTTTTCAGCTCTTCATTTCCTGTATTCTTTGGAAATCATTATGTATGGCTCACGGTTAGAGGGAAGAATTACATCTTCTACCCCCTGAGGAGCTGGTGTCTTTATCAATCTTTGGAATTTGTCTCTATGAGATTTATCTATTTTCCTCCAAATCCTACTGTTTTCAGTATAGACAATGGACCCCCTCCCCCACTCTGGGACTCTGACATTAGTGTCTCACACAGGACAAGTGGTATTCTAACGTTGAGCCATAGCACTACCCCTTTTTAATTTTTAATTTTGAAGCAGTCTCCACTAAGTTGCCCATCCTGGCTTTGCACTCTATCTGTAACCAATACAGGTCTTGAACTCATGACCCTTTGTCTCAGCCTCCTAAATAGTGTACATTAGCAGGCTTGGCTAGGCAGAGAATTTTTTTTTTAAGTTTTAGTTGGAAGATGTTTTATTCTTTTTTATGTTTTTATGTGGTCAGATGCTGTATCATCTCATAACTAAGAAGGTTGGATTATTATTACATTGACCCTCCCCAGGCCAAAATTGGATCCCTTACTTTTGCCAAAAACATAGGCTGTTATATGAGATATGTTTATTAATGTTTCTTCCTTTAGTGTGTGCGTTGGCTAGTTTTATGTCAACTTAGCAGAGAAGGTCAATTGAGAAAATGCCCTGTGTGGAAGCCTGTGGTACATTTTACTAATTGATTGATGTGGGAGAGCCCAACAATCTATAGGCAGAGCTACCTCTGAGCTGGTGGTCCTGGGAACTACAAGAAAGTGGGCTGAGTAAGCTGTGGAAAGCAAGCCAGTAAGCAGTGTTTTTCTATGCCCTCTGCATCAGTTCCTGCCTCCAGGCTCTTGGCCTGACTTTCTTAGATGGTGGACTGTAAGCTGTAAGCAGAAATAAACCCTTTCCTCCCCAAGTTGCTCTTGGTCACAGTTTATCACAGCAACAGGGAGCAAATGAAGATAGCATGTGTGTACACTAGTGACTCTGTTGAGATCTGAGGCTCTGTATTCTGCTTTCATGGGTCAGATACTGGAAAACAAGAAGACTATTGAGAAGTTGAAGGATGTCATTTCGACGACTACAGCAGAACTTTCAGAGGTGAGGCTGCCTATATGTACTACACAAAAGTAATAGCATTCTCTTAGTCTATTTGAACAAAAGTTTGGTAAGTGCTAAACCATGTAAAAAATGAAACTTGCATGATATTTGGTTGAGAAAAATATAACTTTTTCCTTTGGAATTCATTTACTAACTGGGAGTGTTTCACATTAGGTTCAAATCGCCCTTAATGAAGCCAAGCTTAGTGAAAAGAATGTAAAATCTGAATGCCATCGGGTTCGAGAAGAAAATGCCAGGCTTAAGAAAAAGAAAGAGCAGGTAAGTCAAGTTCACCTAATAGGTCACAGCGTGTCCTCTCAGCAGTCTTCTCTGACCTGTTTTAAGGAAAGGAAGTACTCAGACTGGGGGTTGGGAAGTAGAAACCATGCTTCTCAGATTGAGCAAACTCTGTGTTGTGAGTTTTCTGTACTGTTTATGGCAGCACTCAGGTGTTTATTTTATTCTTTATCTTGTCAAATGCCAGTCATTCGTTGAACTATTTTTATATGAGTATTTTATACCAGTCTTTGAAAAGCTATTTCCTTACTGACCAAGAGGAGGTTATGTGATTGGAGTCTGGACTTAGGAGCCCGAGATGTGCCCAGCCATTCATCCTGGAAGTGAATTAAGTTGAATTAGTATAGTGTTCTGAAGGCTGAAGTCATCTGGTCAACCTCCCTAATCACACCAATGTTCTTCCTGCATCTCTGAGGGTTGGGACCATTCACCTCTTTTCTTTACTGATATTTTAGCTCCCATGGACATGCCAAGGAGAGTCATGGCTTCCTAACCCCAACTCACATAGATCAGATGTCTCCTGTACACACCCCTGCACCATAGGAATTCATACATTTTGGCTTTTCAGTTGCAGCAGCAGATTGAAGACTGGAGTAAATCGAATGCTGAGCTCACTGAACAAATCAAGACATTCAAGAGGGCCCAGAAGGACTTAGAAGTCGCTCTTACTCAAAAAGATGACAATATTAGCGTAAGTTTATCCTCATGAGTACACACTTAATCTCGTGAATTCTTGTGATTTAGAACCAAGAGGTTTTTATACCATTTGCTTCTTTTCTAGGCTTTGACTAAGTGCATCACACAGGTGAACCAGGTAGAGAGTGAACTTAAAACTGAGGATCAGAATCCAGAAGGAAATGAGTCAGATGAGCTGGCCAATGGAGAAGTGGGAGGTAAGATCTGTGTCTGAGGAGGTGGTAAGATCTGTGTCTGAGGAGGAGGTAAGATCTGTGTCTGAGGAGGAGGTAAATCTGTGTCTGAGGAGGTGGTAAGATCTGTGTCTGAGGAGGAGGAGGTAAGATCTGTGTCTGAGGAGGAGGAGGTAAGATCTGTGTCTGAGGAGGAGGTAAGATCTGTGTCGGAGGAGGTGGTAAGATCTGTGTCTGAGGAGGAGGAGGTAAGATCTGTGTCTGAGGAGGAGGAGGTAAGATCTGTGTCTGAGGAGGTGGGCCAGTTTCTCCCTCTTGTCTTCAGTTTCAGTTCACTGGGGCTGCTTTTCAGCTGTGGTCAGCTGCGCGGCTGTGGGCTCACACCCCTGGACTTGTAGATGTGTATGTCTGTGTTGGCCCTGGTGGGTTACTCGGGTGTAGTGTAATACAGGCATGCAAAGGACTTGTACAGTAGAGCTGCTTCAGTCTCCTCATGCCTCTAAGTATTAAAACCCTGCCTCGTCCTTTGGCGAGTGGTCTCTGTGGCTCTGGTTTGGAGGCCTGCAGTTTGCTTTCAGAGGACTGAGGGGACTGGAATCACAGCTAAGGCGGTGAGGTGAGACGCTGGAGTTGCATCATAGGATGCTGGAGGGCAGCATGCTAACTGGTAAAGAGCTGTCGCCGACGTCTCCCAAGTTGAATACTAACTGCTCCTTATCAGTGCGGGTACTTTAAGTCATACTGGGCAGCAGACTCAAGGGAGAGCAAAGGCCTGAGGTCTTAGGTGGACATCTGTCCAGGTGGGAGGTGACTGGAGAGAAGAAAGCACTCCATCTTAGAACAAGGATGACTTTTTTGGGTGGGGAAGGAGGCAGGGGTGGTTTCTCTTTGGCTTTGGAGGCTGTCCTGGAACTTGCTCTTATAGACCAGGCTGGTCTTGAACTCACAGAGATCCACCTGCCTCTGCCTCTGAGTCCTGGGATTAAAGGCGTGTGCCACCACCTCCCGACCAGGGTGACATTTTTTATTGCACAAACTGGTAATTAACTTTGTACATCTACATTTTCAATTCTAAATCAGTTAATCATTTTTCTTAGTTGGTTTTGTCTTTATTCCACTGTTTGGATATGATCATTGTCTGAGGGAAATCATGGAAATGTCATTAAAAAGCAAGGAAGAAAAAGCAACTGAAGTATTTTCTCTTATAGGTGATGGAAGTGAGAAGATAAAAAACAGAATTAAGGAGATGATGGACGTTTCTCGGGTATTGTCTTGTTTGTAGTCCCAGAAGCATCCGGGAGTCTTTCCTATGGCTCACTTTTAAGACTCAATCTTTCTTCTTTAATTTATAGACACAAACTGCAGTCTCAATAGTTGAAGAGGATCTAAAGCTTTTGCAACTTAAGATAAGCGCATCAATGTCCACTAAATGTAACCTGGAAGGTAGGTTCTTCTGGACACAAAATTACCATATATTGGAATGATTTAAAATTTGACTAGAAAGATAAATAGGTTTTAGCATTCATGCCTCTCACTTCTCAGAACTGCCCCCCCCCAGCCCTGTCTCTCAAGCCTCTGCACACATAGAGAAAACCTTTGTATCCCTTACAGACCAAATCAAGAAATTGGAAGGTGACCGCAACTCTCTGAAGACTGCTAAAGCTGAGCTGGAAGATGCGTGCAAAACTCTGACGCAGAAACTGGAGATCCTCAATGAGCTCTACCAGCAGAAGGAGATGGCTCTGCAGAAGTAGGGCCCGCTGCTCTCTTAGCGTGTAGTCACCACCTTGTCTAAAGTTCACGTGCAGTTTCTCCCACTTAGAACTAACAGGGCCTTGGCTTCTCCTTAGTGCTTTGTTTCCTGTGTGTGTGTGTGTGTGTGCTTGTGTTAGGTGCTGGTTTTGTATATGTGTGCACTATATGTACTTGATGTGGCTATGCACACTTGCACAGGTGTGTGGAGGTCAAAGGTCAGAGTTGGCTGTCTTTTCCTCCTTTGATGTCTACCTTTACTTTTTGAGACATATCTCTCATTGACCGAGCATCTATTCTACTAGGCTGGCTGGCCAATGAGCTTCAGCGATCTGTCTGCCTCTGTTTCCCCCTGCTGAGGTTATAGGTGTGTTCCTCCACACCTGGCTTTTTATATAATAGTTGTAGGACAACATAAAAAAATAATTAATACTTTTCCAGGGCAGGAAGAAGCCTTTGTCCCTACTTTAGTTGAATTACATTGCTGTTTCCCACAGGACAGGAAAGCTCTTCCATACCTAGAATACAGTATTGGTCTCTGGTTTAGTTGAGTTAGATTTCTGATTCCCACAGAAGGGGAAGGCACTTGGATATGTAGAGTACAGGTTTTCCACAAACGTAGAGCTTTTTTTTTTTTTTTTTAAATATTTTATTTATTTATTGTGTATACAGCCTTCTGCCTGCAGGCCAGCAGAGGGTACCAGATCTCATTCAAGGTGGTTGTGAGCCACCATGTGGTTGCCGGGAATTGAACTCAGGACCTCTGGAAGAACAGTCAGTGCTCTTAACCGCTGAGCCATCTCTCCAGCCCAGCGTAGAGCTTTTTATAGCTGTTTTATTTACTTGTCATAGGAAATAGAATAGACACCTGGCTTGCCAGGAAGTCAGAGTTTTATTTCCAAATGTCAGGGAATGTTTTAGTCTCTTAGCATGCCTTCATGTGTTGGGGCACTAAGAGAAGGATAGGAAGCGGTACGGTGGTGGCAGACACATTTAATCCCAGAGGCAGGGCCAGCCTGGTCTACACAGTGGTGGCAGACACATGTAATCCCAGAGGCAGGGCCAGCCTGGTCTACACGGTGGTAGCAGACACATTTAATCCCAGAGGAAGGGCCAGCCTGGTCTACAGAGAGAGTTCCAGGACAGCCAGGGCTACACAGAGAAACCCTGTCTCAAAAAGCAAACAGCAGAGGATAGGAAATGACAGTTGAATACAGAGCTGACTGCTGTAAGGAGAGACATTCACCTAATAACTGGCTTATCCTAGGAAACTGAGTCAAGAAGAGTATGAGCGAGAAAACAAAGAGCAGCGGCTTTCCGCTGCAGATGAGAAGGTGGTTTCGGCGGCAGAGAAAGTGAAAGCTTACAAGTAAGTTCAGGCTCTGCACAGGGTCTGGGGCCTCACACAGGGCTGTGCTTTCTTTCTACAACCATTATGTAGAAGAAAACAGCATAGAAACTAAGTGAGGAGGGGCTATGAGTCCATTCAAGAAAAACAAGTGGAAAAGGCTAACATATATTTACTTAGCCTGCACACTGAAGGACGGTAGAGGCCCTTGCACTTGCAGACGGCTGTGGGTGTCATGGTGGGGAAGAGTTTTATATATTAGAGCAGTGGTTCTCAACCTTCCTAAGGCTGCCACCCTTTAATGCAGCTCCTCATGTTGTGGTGGCCACAGCCATAAAATTATTTCCTTGCTACTTCATAGCTGTAATTTTGCTACTGTTGTGGATTATAATGTGTTTCTGAAGATAGAGGTTTGCCAAAGGGGTCTCAACCCATAGGTTGAGAACCGCTATTTTAGAGTCATTCTTTAAAGAAAACAGTTGGCTATGTGACTTCAAAAATCATTGCAGTGATTTTACCATTTAATAGATCAGTAGTTGTTAACCTGTTTAATTTTTTATTGATAGAAGAAAACAAAGTTGTGTAGTTGTTTAGAAGCAGATATTCATAGCAGGATTTTTTTGAGAATATATTGAAGAGCATTAAGGAAATGATAATCTAAGAATGTCTAGCCATGAAATGACAGGAAAATTAATGTGTTTGTTTTGATTATGCTGTACTTTTGAGTAAATTTAATGTCTGATAACATCTTTAAAACTGTAGCTGTTCAGAGTCAAGAGAACCTTGTTGGATTGTTGCCAATTTTATCTAGCTGTGTTTTAAGTGATAATGCTGAGTGTAATTCTTAGGCGGAGAATTGAAGAAATGGAAGAAGAATTGCAGAAAACAGAACGCTCATTTAAAAGCCAGGTAAACTATATTGGCCTACATTAGTTGCAGGTTGTTTTTGAACGGTAATATATGTTAAAATGACCATTATAAAGAGCCTGAACTGTACTTGATGTGTTGTCTTTTCAGATTGCTACTCAGGAGAAAAAAGCTCATGACAACTGGGTAAGGATTTTTCCTTTCTTATTTTTGTGCACAGCCTCCCACATCTAATCCCAATGCCTTTCTCTCCTATAGCTCAAAGCTCGTGCTGCAGAGAGAACTTTGGCAGAGGAAAAGAGAGAAGCTGCTAACTTGAGGCACAAGTATGGAGCTTTGAAACCTATTTTACAGTGCTTTTACAATGCTTTAGTTTGAAACCTATTTTACAGTGCTTTTACAGTGCTTTAGTTTGAAACCTATTTTACAGTGCTTTTACAATGCTTTAGTTTGAAACCTATTTTACAGTGCTTTTACAATGTTTAGTGCTAGCTGGTATCTAATGAGGAATTGATTACTACTTCATTTTAAGTCCATTATTTCTCAATATTCAAGATTACTGGAACTGGCCCAAAAGATGGCAATGAGTCAAGATGAACCTGTGATCATAAAACCAACACCAGGAAGACCCAATACACAAAATCCTCCCCGGAGAGGTAGGAAGAACTCTGTGCAAGATAGCGGGTTTTGGTGTAGAATGTGTGTACATTGAATTTTACTTCTGTAGTAGGTGTGATGCCCTAGAAAGACTCCTGAGTTTACTGGAAGGAAAGGGACTGTCATTGAGTGGTAACAAGGCATTGCTGTCTTCAGGTCTGAGCCAGAATGGTTCTTTTGGTCCATCCCCTGTGAGTGGTGGTGAATGCTCCCCTCCCCTACCGGCAGAGCCACCTGGGAGACCTCTCTCTGCCACACTCAGTCGAAGAGACATGCCTAGAAGTGAATGTGGTGAGCACTGGTGTATCCCTCTGCACTACAGTACATGAAGTGGGTTCCCCTGTTAGAATTCAGGTCTGCCCTGTAGAAAAGTGGGTCACTGTAAGCTCTGCCATAGGTTAGAAACATGTGTAGCCTTCTGGAGGCCCCTGTTTGCACTTTAAGAATAATATACACTTTAAAATTTAACTGTGACTGTTAGATGCCATCTTACTCTAATTTTGTCTGTGACGCTAAGGAATATTAGAAGTCAGATTCAGAAATGTCACCAGTACAATGCTGTTACAGCTTGAAGCAGCACACCAATATTCTTACTAGAAAGTCCATTACTTTTCTTTAAAACTAAGGCAATGCTGGGGCTCTAGAGGTGGCTCAGTGGTTAGCAGCACTTGCTGCTGTTCAAGAAGGCCTAAGTTCACACCTGATAGGACCAACATAACAGCTGCCAAGCACCATTAACTACAGTCCCAGCATATCTGACACCCTCTGCTGGCTTCTATGGGTACTGCATACAGGTGGTACAGGCACATAACATGAAGGCAAGATACCCATACACGTGATATAAAGGAAAATAATCTGGAAATAAATGTACATAAACTGGGGCTGTTCTTGTCTCAATACTTTTGGTCTGCATCAACTGTAACTGATATATTGAGACCCCTCTTTGGGATTGCAGGCATGAGCTACCTCACCTAGCAGATGTATTTGTAGCGCTGCTCTTTAGTTAAGAGTTGAGACCTAGGCACAGCAGGCTGATTCCCCCTGAAAACCCCATGTCAAGGGCTCTGTTGTTTCTCTCTGAAGGGTCATTGGACAGGAATGTACCTCGCCCTCGCTGGCCATCAGAGGCATCTGGACAACACTCTGCTTCTGGTAAGGAAGGACTTTCTGAGCCTCCTGCATTGTGGTAACTTCATTCTTCTCAGACCACATGGCAGGGTGAGTCTAAGTCAGTGTCCTGCCTCTTGTAGACCCAGGTCCAGGACCCATGATGAACAGCAGTTCCAGGAGCTCTTCTCCAGCAAAGGCCATTGAGGAGAGCAAGGTACGGTCTCTACTCTTCCCTGTCTCCTCTCTTGTTCATGTGTCTCTTTGTTTCTGTAAAAGCAAACTGTTCCCCAAGATCCTGACAGCCCCTCGTTTTCCCGCATCGCCCCTTTATTTAGCTCAGCATACACTAGCAGTAAGTGTTTAGAGACTGAGAGCCAGAGTGGGCTTTGGTTTTGCTGGCTTTGTACTTAAAAGCTTTGAAAAACATGACACTTGTCCCCTTCACCATCTATCCAGTATAACTCCAGTGATCCTTGACTTTGGAGTGTCACTGAGCCAGCGTTGTTTCTTGGTGTCCTCTTTCCTGTTTGACTTAAATTACTAACCAGTTGAGAGCACTTGCAGTACCTATGACCACACAAGTGATCTGCTTGGAACTGTGCTTCTGGAACCCAGGCATCTGTGCACCAGGCACACTGTTTTGAGTCACATGGAAGCAGACTGCTTACAAACAGGAATGTGTGTGTGCCTTCTCTTGATCAGGTCCTGAGCAGTGGCTGGGTTACTGGTTCAGTGCTCACTACAGCGTGTACTCTTGGGACATGTGTGGTGACTGCAGTTGTTTAGCCCTCTGCCCTATACTAACACATTGTGGAAATCCCTGTCCTGTAATGTAGAGTTGCCAGATGTCGAAGGCCATTCCTCGAGCTGTCTTCCTAATGACGAACATAAACTGTGCAGGGAAGACTGTGAAGCCTAGGCCAAGGCTCCAGGGATGTGCATGTCTTGAGTCTTCGTCCAGGCCATGCTAGGTGGGACACAGAGGCTTTTCCAGACTTCCCAGAGTGCAGACCTCAAGTATGGAGCGTTGGGAAGCACCCAGCCTTGGAGTGCAACCTGGTATCTGAGTTCTAGCCTGTCCTACATGCAGTCTGACCCCCAATCGGCTCGACTACTCTTGCCTTTGCTTACACAAGTTTACACCAGGATACTCACACAGACTTTAAGATCAAACTTTGGATCATACAGTGAAGACCTACTGATTATGCCCTGATGGTTGCTGTTACTGCTTGTGTACTGAATGTATTTTCATTCTGTTCCCTGTGCTCTCCCTATGTACATGTGGGGTTACAGTGATGAGAGAGAGTATTTCTTTTGTATGGATTGCAGTGCGTATGGCATGACCCGAGCCACAGTCACTTCTTAGGAAGGGTCCCCTTCCTGAGTTGATAGCAAGCAGTAAGCCCAGTCACGGTTTGCAGCATCCTTCTGACCTCTGAGTTGTCATTGGCAACATGGGGTGAGGTGTTGTGTTACGCCAAGGATTCTTTGGACAGCTGCCAGTTTACTACTCTTGGCACCATGTAAAAGCACTTGCAAACTTTGTTTCTTTTCTGCAGGTTAACATGGCTCCCAGAGGGCCCCCCTCCATTTCCAGGGGTGCCTCTCTTTGGTGCCCCTTTGAGAAGTCCGGTGCCACCACCCATTCCATATGGACCACCTCCTCAGCTAACCGGGCCTTTTGGGCCTCGGCCAGTGCCTCCACCATTTGGTATGTTGATCTGAATAGTGCTGACTTTTAAAACATACTCATCACTTCTGTTCCAAGCTAAAGTAGTTGCTACCATAGAGCTTTCCAATGAGGATGCAGCTGAGAGTGCATTGTAACCTATCCCCAATCTTCTGGGCACTTACAGGTTCTGTTTAATCTCCCTAAGGTGAGTTGGGTGTGGCTGGATGGGAAAGCCAGTAATGTTTCCTGTGAAGGTGCATTGGCACACCATATTATTATACATGGAAAAGATGGGCGACACATGTCATCACATCTTGTAGGTCACAAATACCAATAGAAGCATGAGCCACTGGTCTCAGAATATAGATAGGCAAGCTAAAGGATCCCTTCTGCCTGAGACCTGATAGAAGACAGCTGTTACAGAGAACACACTAGGATCCTAG